AGCGAGCCGCGAACCTGAAAGAAGGAATAGTGTGGAGGCTCAAGAGATGCTTACCCGGTCAAAGAAACGCCGCAACAAGGTGGTATGAACATTTGCGGAGTATACTTGAGAAACTTGGATTCGTGTTCTCAGTACATGTACCCGCATTAGCTAGACACACCACAAGGAAGCTGTGTATCTCTATCCATGTAGATGACGAGCTACTAGCAGGAGAAAAGGAGGAAACCATTTGGTTGGTAGAAGAATTGGAGAAAGTATTCAAGGTGGAGAAAGAAGGACCATACCCAGCGAATGGAGTCGGAAGTGGAGAAGAGATGCGATATCTCAAAAGGAAGTATGTCTTCACCCGAGAAGGAATTGTTGTCCAACCGAATGAGAAGTATGTTCGGAAGCTCATTGAGTTGTATGACCTTGGAAAGTTAAAGAGTAAGGCCACACCAGAGCATGTGGATCTGGTGAAGGAAGACCGGACCAAGGAGTTGAGTGCTGAAGAGACAAAACGGTTTAGATCTGGACTCGGATCTATTTTGTACCTTGCACAGGACAGGATTGACATTCAGTATGCCTCAAAGTGTTTGGCATCAAGTATGTCGAAGCCGACGTTGCAGGCACTAAAGTGTCTGAAGCACTTGATTCTGTATTTGAGTGGAACAGCCACAAGGGCTACTCTTTTACCGTATACCGAAATCGGAAGCCGGTTGATCACGAAGTTGAATGGCCAAGAAGACGAAGAAATTGCCAAGGATGCAGGACATGTGGTGGAAGCGTATTCGGACAGTGATTGGGCAAGCCTGAAAACCCCGGACAGAGCCCGAAGGAAGAGTACCTCATCAGGAATCATTGTACTGAACGGAGTGCAAGTGTTATCATTTTCTAGGACTCAGAAGGCCACATCATCATCAAGCTGTGAAGCAGAGTTGTACGCACTAAGTGGAACTTGTGGAGAAGCAATCCTCGTCGGAAGGCTATTTGAGTTCCTGGTAAACGCGCCTGTACGCGTGGAGATACGGTGCGATTCATCATCTGCACGACAGTGGAGTCAACGACGAGGAGTTGGACGTCTGAAGCATGTGGACGTTAGGCTGTGTCAACTGCAAGATTGGGTACGAGACAATCTTGTAAAACTTGGTACAGTGCGAACCGCGCTAAATGTAGCGGATCTGAACACCAAGAAGTTGTCATATGCCCGAAGGTCATTTCTACTGTATCACTTGTCTCAAGTAGAGTATGATGAAGAAGGAAACTTGGAGTATACTGGAGAGAAAGAGTATGAAAAACATGAACAAGAGAAGAAGTTGAAGGAGTATGTCGGAAGCGGACAAATCAAGAGTCTCATTAGGGCCATACAGGTATTTCATTTGATGAAGCCGATTACCGCAGTATTGCTCAAGGAGGAAGTATCTGACGCCCAAGTAGAGACCTGTGGAACCTTGGAAGAAGGTATGAGCGCCATGGATGGAAACTTCACGAAGTTTGAAGTTGGAATGATGGTATGCGTATTTTTACTCGCAGTGCCGTATGTTATCACGGTATGGACAAAGCTTGGAAGAATTTTGGAAAACCTGCGAGGTATTGGACGTGTGAAGATCAGTACGGGAAGCCGTGCACGTGTATATCACCGTGCTACCTGCTGGCATGCCCAAGGGTCACACAAGAAACCAGGCCGGTGGGTCTGGAAGGACGTACAAGAAGCTGAACAAGATGGCTTTAGGGCATGTTGGATTTGTTTCCCAGAGACGAAGCCAGAAGGAAGCTCAAGAAGACGCCGAGAGCGCGCAGAGCCACCGACCCCAGACGAAAGCGATGGGAAGTAATGGAGCTTGACTTTGAAGTAGAGTCAAATGGTGGATGCACAAAGAAGTGCTACTGGTGCGGAGTACGAAAGTGTACAAGGGAGAAGGTAAACCACCAGAAATGTTCTTGCACAGAATGCATCAAGACATATGCAACGGAACAATGGAGGAAAAGTTATGACAGAGCAGTAACGGAAGGAACGGGTAATGCCAAGGAAAAGGAAGAGACCCGTGTAACGGATGAAGTGGATCATGCCTGGAATGCCGGACAAAAGAGTGGCAATGGAAAAGGATCTTTGAAGAGACGTGGAAGAGCAGCGATGGGAACACCAGCAATCGTACACACAGAGAGTGTGCGTATGCCCATCATAAGTGAGGAAGACTACCGACGTGGTGGAAAAGTCACATCTGGAAGAAACAAGCAGGATGTGGAAACCCAGGAAGAACCGGAAAAGAAGAAAGAGCCGGAGATGATCGAGTACCGCGGAAGGATGATTACCGTGGAAGAGATGGGTAACAAGATGCTATCCCCAGAAGCACAGGAATCGTATGAGAAGTATTGCGAACAATGCAATGAGATGTATGACGCGTCAGAAGAACGCGCACAAGGATCGGAAATCCCAATGGACCTGTTTGGGAGTTCGAAGCCAATGGATGTAGATCCAGATACGCCGGACAGCACAGAACAGAGAACGTTGTTCGGAAGTCAGTAAGACCTACATCGTGTACGAGTATGAGGCAGAGAAGTGAGTGTAGGCAAGACTGAAAAAGTTTCACCTCGGAACGCACAGCAGCGAAAGCGCAAAAGAAGGAAGAGCGCTAACGCAGGAAGTTTGTGTGGAATGTTTCACTAGGACGAAGTACTTGTTACTGTACGAGTCAAGACAAGGACGGTCTGACACACCTCCTTAATTGGGGGACGGTCAAAAGGTGGGTTGCACGGAGTGTTTAACCCAAGGACTTGCAATGGCTAAGCCGATGCAGTCATGGGCGGAGGTATGCCCGACCAATGACCGATCGAAGTACAGCACAAGGACTTCGAGGCAGGGTGTTGAATTCTGTACATAGGAACGCCCCACACCTTTGGTGAGCCCAGGCTACGGTATAGTATTGTATAGCTGTATACTATGTGACCGATGCAGCGCCTTTGGTTCAAGAGTAAAAGCGTGACCGCTCAGGGTTTTACAGTTTAACTTGGTCGCAACAAGTCAAGCGCATAGCTATTCTGAGACTTTTCAAATCCCGTCCCAGGGGCCCAAGCCCCCTGGCTTTATGTTTGGGCCACGCAAGCTAAGATATATGGTGAACGGTTTTCGTCGAATGAGGGAGTGTTAAAGACGTATATGGTGAAGCAAAATTGCCAAATAAGGGGTGTGCTTCATATATATATATATATATATATATATATATATATATATGGTGATTCGGAATCGCCAAATGAGCGGGGTTGTTTAAGACGTATCATGAACCGTTATCGCCAAATGAGGGGGCGCGTTTATCATGTATGTTGAACCGTTATCGCCAATTAAGGGTGGTGTGTTTAAGCTATAGGCTGACCCGGGATTACCAAATAAGGGGGGGTGCTTACCGCTTGCAAGTGCGTTTGCACAGGGTTCCCGATGAGAACGTGCGTGGATGCCGGTAAGTTGCTGCGAAGCTGCCAAAAAAAGCAGAAGTGCGCGAATGTGAGGCCGTGGACAGGGTGTCTCATGAGCGCCGTGCACTATGTTGCATGTACATTTGGCCCATCCTTGTAACGTGTACAGGTTCTATAGAAGCTAAGCCCGAAAACCATAAAAAATACCAAAAAAAAGACCCAAAGCCAGGCCCTTTCTCGTGACTCTTGCAGGTTTTTTAGCATTCCAGCCCCGAAAACCACAAAAAATACAAAAAGAACCATAAAACATACAAAAAAAAAACCTGGACCCTAAGGGTTAGGTACCGGGGACCCACATGACTAAACGCAGAATCCCTGAGGCCCGGTCACCTGGTTCTACTGTTTAAAAGCGGCCCAGACGTCTCTGATCAGGAGTTTACCCTACTTAAAGGATCATGGGACTTAGCAAGTAGGTTATAATTGGGCTTATAAGTCCCCTAAGTGGGGTTATCCGAATTATAACCTACTTAGAACCTTACTTACTAAGTCCCATGAGCCTTTAAGTACCCCAAGGCCCCACAGTAGTTCCTTTTTGGGGTTCGTATATAGAATCCTGGAAGGTAATCCCCAACAGGAACTACTTTACTTTGGGGCCTCTGGGCAAGGATGGTAGTTATGTAGGTTACTCTCTGGGAGAGTGTATGATAGTTGGGTGCTTGGATTCGTAGGGTTATAGCAGGTTTGGTGGAGGGGTTACACGACTTTACAGGAGGGTCCTGTTCTTTAAAGACCTTTATATAAGCCTCACACGGCCCTAACCTCCCGATGCGACGGAAGAATTACAGAACCCCGAAACGAGCACTTGAAGCATCCCGTAGAAGACTGAAACACCAAGCCCGAAACTCAAATCTCAGAGACCCTAATCCCTGAACCCTAAACCCTAAAGTCAGATGAACCCCGACCCTACTGCTTCCCAGGACTGCTCGTCTCCGTCCACCTGCCCGATGCTTGCAGCACATCGGACACCTGCTTCCTGGACGTGGCCCCGGACTCAGTTTTTGGGCTTAGGCGGTGTAGGATTTCGCGTTCAGTCTAGTTGAAGGCCTGAACAATTAAGAACAACATAATTTTCTTAGCTTCCTATTATGAGTCGAGGGACCCTATAAAGCCCTACAAACCTAAATCAAACATTACAGAACCCAACAGTGCCGAGTAATTAGAACCCTATAAGGTCCTTATGGAACCCTATAAAGCCATAAAGGGAACATCAGCGCTACGGCTTCACAACGAGACCTCCAAGAGAAGGGCTACCAGCGCCGGTATCACAGGTCAGACGGGGGATGTTTTTGTACGATTTGCTTTGAAGGGTTCAGCGAGTCTACTGAGGATCAAGGTAATTACGGGATATCACAATATGCCATAAGCCGTAAGCTTTCACTTTTAAACCAGGATGTTGGGCATATTTATTGTTTTCATCTATATAGAGGGGCTGCAAGCAGCATCAAGCAACATTATTTTATGGTCATCCCCGCTTTAGCCGTCTGAGCCAGCTAATCCCTATAGACCTTTTAATGACCTTGAGACCAGTAGGAATTTAGGTTTCTGCCAAGATGCTGAAGGCCGACATTCACGAGACCCAGCATGCTAGGGCCGCTAGGGATCTCTACATGGGTGGTTGTCCAAAATATGGTACTTTTTTGGGTCCTTATTATAGTACGGCACCTATTTTTTTAGGGTACCCAAAAAGGGACCGTAATTTTGACAACGACTACCCACATGAAGGAGGCTTAAACCTCCAAGCCTTAAGGAATCAAAAAGGATTTGGGTAGATTCTACAGTCTGTAATTATCATGGAGGTCCCTAAACCATGCTGCAGGTCCTCAGCCCTCCAATGGGAATGTTAGTCTGTCATTGAGTCACCGAGAATGAGGTCAGTATCCATCAGACAGATCCTACATTGATGGAGCGCGGTATCTATGGTCTAGGCGGCTTTCTGCAGCTTGGGTGCACGGACTTGCTTAAAGTTTCGAGTTGCACGCGCGATACGCGATAGGGAGAGAGCGAGACACGGAGAGAGAGGGAGAGAGAGAGAGAACGCGAGAGATAGAGAGACAGAGCGAGAGAGAGACGCAGACACAGAGAGAGAGAGAGAGAGCGAGAGAGAGAGAGAGAGAGAGAGAATGTGTGTGTGTGTGTGTGTGTGTGTGTGTGTGTGTGTGTGTGTGTGTGTGTGTGTGTGTGTGTGTGTGTGTGTGTGTGTGTGTGTGTGTGTGTGAATATCAGGGCTTCGGGTTTGGCGATTGAGGTTCGGGTCTGGGGTTGAGGGTTTATGGTCTACGGATTTAGTTTGGGGCTAAGGGTTTCTGCATTCGGGGGTTTGCGGGGTTCCAGGTTGCAGTGGAGTTTCGGATCGGCATTGTGGTCTCTATGGTGCCATGCTTCTTTTAACGCACCTGGCCGTCTTGCCTCATGTGTGAGTTCCCGAATAAAGGGTCATAGCTTGATTACCCTTTTGTTACGGCACGGACTTTTCTACATAACAGATCGAAACAATTGTAAGACTAGGTGACTAGGTGCCTTAAATAAGGGACAGAGTATGACCCTCTATATAAATAGACCGTAAGGCAACCCCTTAAACCCAGAATCTGTTTCTTACATCCCGCAGATGCACACTCCCAAACTCAACAATTTGACAATCCTACATCCTCATCCTAAGCCCCAAAACAGAAACCTAAACCCTTCAAAACCCTAAGCCACAAATCCTCTAACCAAGCCGAGGAAAGTCTCCAAGGAGCTGCGCGTGTTGTGGAGCCCGCCCTACCTGTCGCGTCTCTGGTGTCTCGCCGAAAGTTTAGGGTTTAGGCGTTTAGGGTTTGGGGGTACAGGGCTGCGACGATTGTTTAGAGTTTGGGCCTCTGGTTGAGAGCTGGTTAGTGCGTACAGCATGAGAGCTGCAAGCCCTACCAGGACCCCGCACGTGCCCCTAACTAGGGCCCTTATGGTCCTTAATAGTGGGTTTATTTAGGGTATTCTTGGAGAGTAGTTGGGGGCCTAGGTAGCCTCAGATCTCCTTTGGTCAGGTGTGTCTTTGAGCTCGCTGCATACAAGATGGCAAATCCCACAGGAAAGACGCTTGGCTCAGACCGGAGAAGTACGTTCGGGCTTTACACTGTAACTTCTTGAGGGTGCAGGATTAGTTAGTTGTGCCTTAAACTGCGATTGTTGTAGATTCTACAACCCTGATATAGAGTTCACAGCGGCCCTACAAAACAAAAGGTGTTGATATCTACAATAGGTGCTGGTAGTTCTAGGTGGGATGTACTGGGAGGGTCGGGGGACTGTGTAAGTAGTAATTTGATCGACTTATAAGTATCATAGCCCCAGTTAGGATAGCGCTTAGGGTACTGATACGTCTACTTATTGTCTACTTAATAAGTCCCCGACCCTCCGAGTAGGATGTTGGGTTTCGGGCCCCGGCCGGCGGCACTGGAATCCTTGGCCGCAGCAGTTTCTGTTTCAGGGTTTAGGAAGAAGGAGTTTACCAGGCGTTCAGAGGCACTCATGAAGCTGCTGAGGATCCCGTATAGGCACTCATGAGGGTTCCGTTAAGGGCTTCCTACAAGGGCTCCTTTCAGGGATCTGTTAGGGTTCCTTTATAGGCACCCGCAGAAGCCGCTGAGGATCAACTTACATCCGCTCTTCATCGAGACGGTGAGTTGCTGGCTCTTCCAGGCGAGGTGCCCGAAGCCCCCAAGCCCGAAACCCTAAGAAACCTATCGTTTTACAATTTGTTGGGGCTCCTTAATGTGTTCATGAATTCCCTACATAAGTCCTTAAAGGGGCACTAGAACCTACCTTTTGTATAGAGACCCTATATTGTCCTTTTAAGTTACGTTCTCGGGTTTATAAGAAGAACCTACCGGGCGAGGCCTTTTGGGTTTATGGTGTCAGGTGGTAGGTCGGAGTTGCTGGTGTCAAAGTTTAAGTGTTTGGAGGGCTGAGGAGTTGGGCGAGAGTTCAAGGTTTATGGCTTAGGGTGCTGAAGGTTCTGTGCGATAGTCCGGGGTTTGTGGCTTGACTTTAGTGCAGAGAGCTCGAGGTTTTGAATCCACTGATCAGGAGCCTTTGTAAGTTACTTAGAGGCTCTTTGTGCCTGTGGGCTGTTTAGGTGACCTCAAGCCCCAAGCCCATCATTGACACCCCAATTTCCAAGACCCAAATATCATCTCCTTGCGACCTCCATACACAGGGTTTAGGGCTCACTATTGAGCTCAGGAGTACTTGTGTCGCCTGTTAAATTTGGGGGTTGAGGCTTCCTTTATCAGGATCTTCCAAAGTTGGAATACCTGATGGCTCTGGTGACACTGATGAACTGTTTGTGAGTGGTGACGACTGAATGGGCAGTACATCTTAGACCCTAACCCACCTAAACCTGAAGCCATGCACCCTACCTAGACTTTTAAATTTAGTACCTTTTATTGGATGGCCTGTTTTACGGGTCGGATCTCAAAAATTAAGAAACTAATGCAGCAAAATAGGTTTTACATTTAAATTTAGGCGTCTGGGTAAGCCGTTATCTCTCAACCGTGAACGCCCCAGGTTCTCTGTCCACAGCATGTGGATCGTGTTCTCTAAGATTTCTGCTTCTAGCTGAGGTCAAAACGGATTGAAGTCTACTTAGGGTTTGAAGTTTAGGGGTTTGGGGTTGAGGGTTACGGTTTGAAGCTTACGGTTTAGGGTCAGCTGACCCTAGCTGAGGCCAATTGTGTTGGTGCCGCTGTCTTCCATGCGGTCCGATTGAGGAAGATGGGTGCCAACATGGAGTATGCTCCCCGCCAGAGTGGGTTAAGATCCAAACCGTGTTCTTCCCTTCACATCATCACGACCCTTATAGCGTTTGACTTTTGCACCGGCTTGATGATAGAGCGCCTAATACTGTTGCCACCTTCAGGGCCGTGCATTCTACGTCTAAGGGCTCTGGGTTCAGGGTTCAGAGACTTGGGGTTGGTGTTCAGGGGTTAGCTACTTGGCACTTGGGGTGTATCCCTCCTCCCCAATATCGGCGACAACTCCAACGTCTCCCCCGTTGCCTCCGCAGCCCCCTTGTTTGGGGTGCCTAGGTTTATGTTTGGGATCTGTTGCGTATAAAAGTCGGTACTTTACCCAGAGCATCACACACCCTGCTCCTGTTTTGGGGTACCTAGCGTTATGATTATGGTCTTTTCTGTCTGAAAAGTAGGTACTCTAAAGAAGGGGTAGGGCATGAGGGTATGGCCCTATAATAGCTGTAGATCATGAACCCCGGATCTCCACTCTTGATTCCTTTTTGGGACCCTTGAAAGGAGCCCTATGATATAGGGATCCTTAGAGGGGTAGAGGGGGCAAGGGGCCTTAATGCCCCAGGATAAGGACTTAATAAGGCCTATTTAGGTTAAGGAAGTATAGTCCCCTACCCCCCTCCCCCCCCTAAGGATCCCTATGACTATATATAAACCTGAGGGGAATTCGGGATCTAGGGTTTAAAAACGACAAAAGCCCCCAAGGTCCGAAGCTCTAATCTCTGTGAGCCCGGCCCTCGTCCAATATCCACAGCTTCAAGATACCTTTAGCATATATAAGCCCAACCTAGACCCCCTAGCAACCCTCCATTTCGCCCTCAATACCTGCTTTGAGGACCACAAGGGGCTTGTATTGAAGGGCACTTTGGAGGTCTACCCTAAACCCTAAACTCGAAACCGTACTAAACCCCCAAGCCCTATACCCTAAACCCTAAACCCACACAACTGATCAGCCGGAAGACTGACTGAGATGTGATGTAGAGGCTGTCAGAGCTTTTGTCTTTAGTGTGCGCCCCTCAGGGTGGGCTGGTCGTGACGCCTTAGCGGAGTGAAAGGTCCGACACACTTAAAAAAAACGCACCCCTAAACCCCAAAGAACTGAATCCTAAACCCTATACCCTGAACCCAAAAAGTCTCCCGAGGCGGGATACTGCCTCGGTATGCTGGCCAGCTTAAAAGCCTGGCATCGCCTTCGAAAGGCCCGATTCAAGGTTTAGGGCATAGGTAGGGTTTAGGGTCAGGGTAGCTCAGAAGGGGTTCAGGGTTTTCGAGGTTTAGCTCTTTAAAGGAACTGGGCCAGGGTTTTGGGAAACCCTAAGCCCTAAACCCTAAAACCCTAAGTCCTGAACCCTAAACACTACACTCAGGAAGCTTCGGGTTAGGGTTTTGGATTTCAGGAGAGCTTGAACCCGCATAGAACCCTTAAAGGGAACTCCCCTTTAGCTAAGGAATATACCTTATATCATATTATTAAGCCCCCTTAAAGTTTGAGGTATCTTCCGCAATGAGGGGCCTTTTTTCGAACCCTTAAAGGAACCCAAGCCTCGAACAAAAACCCTTTAAACCCTAAGCCCTAGGGAAGTTAGCGCTGCGTCTGACTCAGACTCTTCAGCACCGAAAGTCCGAAAGTCCCTAAGGAAGCTTCGGGTTAGGAATTTCGGCTTCAGGAGAGCTTGAACAAGCACAAGCTCCTGTCTGACCTGGAGAACTTCGACGTGGAACACGCCGTGACCTGCACCGGTTTAGGGTTCAGGGGTTTATAAGGTTTAGGGTTTACGTGGTTTAGGGTTCAGGGTTTAAGGGGTTTGGAGTTGAGGGTTTAGGATTTAGAGGTTTAGGGCTTAGGTTTAGTGGTGTAAGGGTTTAAAAGGTTGATTATTGGTTTGAGTTGCAAGGCCCTACCTATAGTCTCCATTATAGTTCCTTTTTGGTTCAACTGTCAGTATAGTTATCTATTTAGGAACCTGTAAGGTAACCCCAACAAGGAACCACAATGGAGACTATGACCGAAACCCAGGCCCTTCCAAGCCCCCTTTAAAACAAGCTTCACAATTTCAGGTGCACACATCCGAGTCAAATCCCATTCTACCTCGAGTGAATGCCGTTCCAGGTTTCGTCGTAGTACAGGAGCGTGACACATAGTTAACACTTAACATGGAACTCTTGCGCAGGTGTGGCACTGAGACCGATCCTTGAATCCCAAACCCCAAACACTAGGACCCAAGCCAACTTGCAGCGATCAGGTTATGATTCTTCCGTCAGTTCAGCTGATCCAGGTATGTTACATGATTAGGTAAGAGTCATAAAGCCGGTGACGCGGGTATTTAGTGTTTGAACTCAGCTTGGGTTTTCGGGCAGGGTTCAGGGTTGGTTGCTTAGGTTTCCTTAAGGCCTCATGCCCTCAACCCTAAAAGCCTAAACCTGTCCCCAACATAGCCATAAGGTAAATTTCCGTGTCTAGCGAGGACCTTCTTCTTAAGAAGGTGTATGGGCTGTCAAGAGGCTTCCTAGCAGAGTCTGGGTGAGATCAGGATTGCCGAAGCGAGTTTGACAGGGACTTCATCCATGTGACTTGGTGATGCAAGAACTCACCCTAAATCCCGAAAGCTGTTCAACCCAGATCGTCCAGAATACACCTCGAAAGCCGTAGAATGCAACAGTTCCCGCCATTTGTTTCTGAGATCTGTCTCCTGATTCGGACTGCGGCTTCGAGCTCATCATCCGCAGTTTTTGTTGGGTTGCGTTATGCTGCGGTGCTTGCAGTGGGGTTGCAAGAGCTTGCACACAATGCTTCCCCCACTACCAGATCCCCAAAACCCTATTCAAACTATTAAGGCCCCATATTATAGTACCCTACTATAGATCCCCTTATAGACCCCTGTATAGAAGCCCTTTAAAAGATCGGGACTGTGCGGCGCCTTCCGCTTGTTTGAACTCTTTTCGGGAAGCTGGTCCTTTCGAGTTGTGGCCATTCCCTAGGACTCCAAATGGCCCAAAGTAGGTACCATTTGGGTGGTTGTCAACAGTAAGGTACCTTTTTGGGTACCCTAGATATTAGGTGCCGTATTACAATAAGGACCCAAACAGGGACCCTAATATTGACAACCACCCATTTACAGCCAAAGTAGGTACTATTTGTCTACTTGGAGTCTCTGGGATTGGGATGGAGCAGATAAGCAATTGCAACGTACACTGACCTCCCACCTGAAGGCCCCAAACATACCCAAGCTCTGTAGCCAATCCTAAAGCCGCAACCCTGAACCCTAAACACTAAACCCTAAAACCCTGAACCCCCTAAACCCTAAACACTAAATTAAACCCAAAGCCCTAAATACTAAACCCTAAAACCCTGAACGCCATAAACCCTAAACGCTAAATTAAATCCTAAGCCCCAAACCCCAAACCAAAGTCCATACGCCCCAGCCTCGATACGACACTGAGTCTTACCTGCCTGCCTACATACGTTCATACATACATACATACATACGTACATACATACATACATACATGCGTACATCACGCGTACGTGCTTACATAGCTGCATACCTAGTTAACCTAGTTACATACATACAGGCATGCATGTATGTGTATGGACGTTTGTACCGCTTGACTTGCTCGTTTCTGTTTGTATCATCGATTTTCGTGGTCTATGTGTACACTGCATAAGACGATCTTGAGGCCGGCATCGTTCAATGGTACGGCAGCAAGGAAGCCTTTACGTGCTACGTGCGTTGCTCGGCTGTTTCTGGCGCTGAAGCTGTTGCCTGGATACAACGTTGTTGCAAAAGTGATCTCGATGCCGTGTTTGATTCGTGTGGTCATACCTGGACCGTAGATGTTTGGGGTTGTTGGTTACCTTGTCATCTCAGTATCGTATCCCGAACGCTAAACAGGTCACAATCCAGTGCTCGGTAGAGAAGATGTTGACGATTGGCAGATGTCTCGCTTAGTACATGTAGTCGTCCTGCAGGTGAGGCTGCAAAGACCAAGAACAAGCCTCAGTGTTACTTAGCCCCCAAGCGTGACTTAGTCCCGAAGTGTGGTTGAGTTGGTAAGACGATAAGGCATGCGAATGCGATGATGTGCATGTGACTCTTCCAGTACCCAGACAGGTACAGTTGTCGCTACGAAAAGGGCCGGATATCGTTAGCTTCACTTTACAGACGTGTGCTGGGGCCCCTTGCATCCCCGTTGCAAGACGAGGTGCACAAGCACTAAACTTGTCCTACGCCTCAGCATAACCCCACTTACAACTACACCTGAGCCTTCAAGCCCGCGATACAAACATGGAGAACCATCACAGTGTACAAACACCAATTGCCGAATAAGTGGGTCTTGAACGAAAAGCCCGCAGCTAAAACCCGCAGAACCTGCACACGAAAGACTGTGTCAACTCAGGGGGGCCCTTGAAAGAAAAGTTCATCGGCACGGCTGAATTCTGTGTTCACCTTCCTTTCGTGTCTCGGCTTCCTTCGGCATTACGAGCGACTTCGGAGAGGGTTATACGAGACTTTTTCAGGCTTTCATCACATGTTGTGACAGATTGAGGTTCCTCTTCCCGGCGATCTTATTTTGACAACAAGATCCTGTCATGTACCCAGATGTGCAGATGTAATACATAATATGTATGTATGTATATATATATATATGTATACACACACACATATATATATATATATTCATATATACATACCCGAATTAAGGAGCAGTCTTTCCATGCTCCTGGGTCTGGGCAGTTTCGTCTTGCGGAAAATTTACGTCCTCATCCCAATGCATGAACAGTTTCTTTTGCAACAAAGCACCGAAGGGGGGTTAGGTGGCTTTGCAGGTTTCCCTGAACCCCAAAAGCCCTTCAATCCTTCAACCCCAAACCCTAAACCCTAAAACCCTCACCTCATCAACCCTAGACCCAAAATCCCTGAGCCCTAAAACCCACACCCTTGCAAACCCAAATCCCTAAAAAAATACAAAGCCCAAAACCCTAAGCCCATAAGTCCTTAAACCCTAAAACTATAAACCCTAAAACCCAAGCCTCATCAACCCTAAACCCTAAAAACGTCTTTCCCAGTTCTACATTCTGCTGATTGCCACGCCATCGGTTAGCGTCGGACTCGAGGGGCCTCTTGGACAAGACGAAACCCTGAAGCCCATGGCAGGGCTTAGCAGGGCTCCACGGATATTCTATAGGCTTGAAACCCTGGAGGCTCAAAATAGCACCGGTTTGAAAAGGCTTTTACAAGAGTTCTGCAAGGCATGGTGGGATCCTGATGGAGATGCGAGGGGATACTTCCGAAATCATTATAGCAGTTCCTGATATATAGAAAGGCTACATCCTACTATATAGGTACTTTGGATCCGTTGGGTAATGCAAGGAAGTATACGTTCGTTCACTGTTCATGCCACTCTAAATCCCAAACCCTCCAAACGGTTAATCCTAAGTCGTACACCCCTTGACCCTCAGGCTTTTAAAGAAGCACTTCGTAACACGCTAGGAAAGACTCGACAGCAAAAGTCCTCAAGTCCTGTGAAGCCCCAACACAGCCCTAATAGCAAGAAGCTGAAAGTCCCGAGCACTTATATTTGGTTTAAGCGTATTTTCGAAAAGATTCCACATGCTGTTGGAGTCCATATAGGGCTTTATGATGGCTGTTGCCGCCTTGTATGGCTGATGGACAACTTCCTGCATTATGTGCCATAACTCCCATAGCTCGGGAATCATGAGCCATAATTGGAGAAGCTCTTGTCCCGACTCAGGTTCGTCGCCGCGCTTAAGGCGGGATTTCAGGAATGAAGTTGAGTTTGGGGTTTAGCATGTGCGCTTCATTGCTGAGGGGCCTATGGCCTATGACGCAGAGTTAAGGCTCTACCTGCATAAAACCTAAACCCTAAATCCTCAACTTTAAACTTGACGGTCTAGGATCAGGGTTTGGGTTCAAGATTCGATCATATGGTGAGGCCTCGAGGTTGTCGTCGACAGTGTAGCTCATTCTCAGCCTACATGCTGTCAGCCCTGCAGATGGCTCGGTGTAGGGTTTGTTAGGGCTTAAGACCCTGAACCCTGAACCAATCAAGCTTCTCCGAGACTCCTATTCGTCGCTGGTTCTGAGATCGGCAGTGTAAACCCTGAAGGTCGTACGATACTGGTTGATTTTTCTTTCGGTTTTCAGTAAGGGATCTGGCTGGTGTCGGACATCCCGTGAGCATGCAGCCAGGCCGGCGCGCCCTTCGAATCACTTGTGTCCCATCTCCTTGGGAAGGCATTCGCTGTTCCACGGCTTTGGCTGGAGGGTGAGTGTGTACATGTAGTCCAAGCATCCGACGGTCCCTGAATAAGTTATGTAGATTTTCCGAGCTACCGATAGGATCTACGTGCAAGCGCTTAATTTGGCTTGGTGTCCGCCGTCTCATATTCGGGGCTCAGGTTTGCAGGAGGGCTTGCTTCAAGGTTCGACTTGGGCTTTTGGTCCTTTGGGGACCGTGGCCTAGGTCCCAAACCCTGAACCCTACACGTTAAACTCGCATGACAGGGCCTTGATTTGTTGGTCCTAAAGTACGGAGTAATCGATCGTTTAATGGCCGTAAGGTGTGAAGAATAGTCCTAAACCCCTCAGGGTTCAGGGTTTGGAGTTTAGGGTTCTGCTGAGACATGGTAGACTCGGGCTTGGAGGCCTAGAGACATCCTCCAAACCCGTTGCCCTTTTCTAAGCCGTACACACAAACCCTAAACCTCTACTAGGATGCCCAGTAGTACCCTTATTCCTTTTTTGTAGTCCTAGGTTCCTTATAAAGTTACCCAATACCAAAAAGAGATGCCTTTTTGTTCTCAGGTTACTGGGTATCCTAGTCTAGTCTCCAGTCCACAATGCTTAGGACAAAGTGCTGGCACGCTGGCAAGGTCCTGACATGTTGACACAGGAAGCCCTTCTAAAACAAGTATCCAAGACATTTTGCAATAAAGGGGCAGATACCTCTGTAATGCTTGAGCAGCTACCAGCAGCTCACTGAAGCCGCTTCCACGGCACTGAATTAAGACCCGGCTACTGAATCCTGTTAATCGCTGTTAGATTCACAGAAATCCGTTTAGGAAGCCTTGACAGAACCCACAAAACCCTGGTCGAATTGCTAAGCCCTCAGCCCTGAGCACCCTGCCCTAAACCCTACACCCTGAAGCTTTACGGCCCACGGCCCCAAAGCTCTAAACGCTAGACTAGGCTAGACCCGAAAAGCCGAATGTAGGGGTCTAAAAAATTATCAATGCTATTATTTGCGATTTCCTTAGTTTACTTGTCGTATAACCTACCCAAACCCTATTCTAATTTCTCACGGAACCTATATTAAACGCCTTCAAGCAGGTCATTGGAGTGAATTTCTTCTGGCAACTGATGAGTCTCAAGACGCTTGGCCTTCTCTTCAAGGCTTCATGGGACTAAGGGTTTAAGACATATACTATACTGTTTTGGGGTCGGGGCTTGTAGGGTTTGAGTCTCACGACGCCGGGCCTTCTACGTGTTAAAATCCAGAGATTCGAGGCGCGCTTGCCTCCTGAGCCCTTCCCCTGAAAGAGTAGCACCTCCAGAATTCTTTAAGGGTCCACGTACCCAAATAATGTATACATTGGCCTTGAGTAGTCCCTACTCGAGCGCATTGGGGCCAAAGTACATACTACTTGGCGTGGAACAAGGAAGGTACAGATATCCTTAATTGAAGGTCCATGTACCCAACTAGTATGTGCTGCGGCCTCAAAGTAGTCCCTGTTTAGGTACTTGGGGGCGAAAGGTAAATACATTCGGATACATGGGTTTTAGGGTGTTTGTACAAACCGCAACACAAAACACAATCCTTGGCCGTACACCCTACGAGATGGTAGCCGGTTGCCTCTCCCAAAAGGTCCAAGTATCATCATGGTATATGCTTAGACCCCCAAAATGCCCTATAAGTATATACCAGAATGATACTTGGACCCTTTGGGTCTTACATAAGTTATGAAACCTTCACTTGTGCCCAACTACGCGCTCCAATGCAGCGTCGTTCAAGCCGCCTGTGCAGGAGATGCCTCTGGGTCTTGTCAAAAGGCCCTAAACCCTAAACCCTAAACCCCACCTATCTTCACTGAAACCCCAAATACAAAGATCATCAGCATGCAGCAGGCGCAACAACTTCAGCAATGCCCTTATTAGTCCGAAACGCCCGAAAACAGAAGCACATCACATTGTCCCTTTTGCACCCAAGCTACCCTAGATTACAAACCCTAAACCTGAAGCCCCAATCGCCAAACACCATCCAAGGTTCGGCATGTTCCTGTGCGACCGTTACGCCGAACCACGCTGGGGAGAGGGATTCTGGAACCTTGGCAACTGAAACACTGATTTGTTCAACCTTTTCGATAGTGTCAACCCCGACAACCTCTGAACAAGTCAAGCTTGTCTGTTTCGGGGGGGAGAATACGACTCTCGCTGAAGACTGAAAGTTTGAATTCCGTGCTGCCTCATGAGCTCCGCAACCAAGGAACGGCTTTCAGACCTTCCTCATCTGCGTTGGGCCCTTTGGGCCAAACATAGGGTTTTGGGTTCAACTTTAGGTTTTATATATGGGGCTCAGCGTTCATAGGGTTTAGGTTTTAAATTCAGGGTTTATGGGGTATGGGTTTAGGGGTTTGAATCCATGGTTTAGGGTTTCTTCTTTCTGTTTCTTGATGTGGGGGAGGGGAGGCGGAGGGTAGGGTAAAGGTCTCTGGGTCCAAAGGGGAAAAGGAGGGACCCTTAATTGGGACCCCTACCCTATATTGGGCTAAATAATGGGTACATAATAGCTATATTAAGTGTATATACCTAGGGGTCCTTATTAAGGGTCCCTCCTTTTGCCCTTGGATGGGTGTAGGGTTGAGTGTTACGGATAGGAGGCTTGCTTGGTTCGTGATTTCGGGTGGCCTTCGATCTTCTGCGAGCGAGGCTTTAGGGTCACAGTCTTCTTACCTTTGGATAGTAGGGAATGGAAGTAGTAGTAGTAGTAGTAGTAGTAGTAGTAGTAGTAGTAGTAGTAGTAGTAGTAGTAGTAGTAGTAGTAGTAGTACTAGTAGTAGTAGTAGTAGTAGTAGTAGTGGTAGTAGTGGTAGTAGTGGTAGTAGTAGTAGTTGTAGTAGTTGTTGTAATTGTACCCCATTCCTCCATTTCCTATTAACCCAAGGTAAGGCTTTGGGGTGTGTTTGTTTTCGATTCGTGGGGCTTGGGGTTGCTAACTTTACATGTAAGGCAAGCCAATCGAAACAAAGATACGTGTAGGCTTCTGAGCAACTTACCAGAACCAGTGTTTTCTTGTGAGGCTTGAGCATCTTGTCTACAATACGAGATTTGTAGGGGCTCTACAAAACGTAGCTTGGTAGTTTGAGGCTTACCGGCACGGTTGAGAAGGCCCATAAAGCCAGATAGGCTGGATTTAGATGGCCAATGGCTGTTGGCCCAAGCTAGGTTTCTAGGTCCTCAATAGACTCAACAAGCCAAACCCTAAACCCTAATTCCTGCAGCCTAAACCCAAAGCAAAGACCCTTAGGGTTTAGGGTTCAGGGTATTGGAATTCCAGGTACTTCTTGTGCTACCTCGTCGGCGCAGTGATCGGGAACCAGGCCTGCTTCGAAGCAGAGCTGCCCGGGAGTCAAAGCCTTCCGCCCCCCCGTTTAGGGTTTAGGGTTTCTTCTTAGGTCTCTGTTTGATGACTTCCGTAAAAAAAGCATTTGAAAGGCAATTTCTTGCAGGCGAAGCATCAGTGCTACATTTCGGCCTTAGCAAAGCAGGGCTCACTCAAAGGTTCATGGTCTGAGGAAATAGGAGTTTCCAAAAAATACCGGACCCCAATTTTGTACCCTAATAGTAGGATCCTTAGGATAAGGACCCCAAAATAAGGTTCCCTAATTTTCAGAAACTCCCCAATAGGGCCCGGCTTGAGACCAAGTGGCTCCATAGTACCTTTGTAGTAGAAGACAGGGTTTCTACAGTAGGAAGTACTAATATGGCTCTGGTTAAGTATTCCCGACGGGGTTTAGGGCTTTTAGGGTTTAGGCCTCAGGGCGTTCATGGTTTAGGGCTTTTAGGGCTTCCAACATAGCTACTTCGGACCTTTTGGGAGAGTATCGACTGAAACTAGACGTCCTGCGAGGCCACAAGCGGTCACGTCGGTTTGGCCTTTGCCTGGATGTTCGCGTCCATGCTGCCCGTCGTGTGCACCTGGCGTGGCTCGGCATTCTTCCAAAAGCCGAAACCCCCAACAAGTAAAACCCTGATGCGCAAATGCTCAAACGCTCGATCCGGCCTGTCCCTATGCATGCATGCGTACATACATGTGTATGTGTATACTTGCATGCATACATACATACATACATGCATACATACATGTTATACATATATATATATACATACGTACATACATACATACATACATACAGCATACATACACACATACACACATACATATATACATGCCTACATACATACATACATACATACATACATATAGAATTATGTGTGTCTGTGTATGTATATATACATATATATATATACAACCACAACTTGTATAGGTTGCTAGTCAGATAGGCGGAAGCTAGGTAGGCAGGTAGGTTCATAAACCCAAACCGGCCTGTTTCTGCCGGAGAACTTGTTCCCTAAACCTTAGGGTTAAGGGTTCAAAAATGGGGACACTAAACATATTGAGGAAAAAGTATTTTTTCCTCACTAAACATATTGGGGAAAAATATTTTTTCCCCAATATGTTTAGTGCTCAAGGTGAAGGGTTCACGGTTCAGCATTAAGGGTTCATGGTTTAGGGCTCAGGGTTACGGGTTTATGGTTGAGGGTTCTGCAAAGGGTTTAGGGTCCAGGTTTATGGTTTAAGGTTCTTGGGGGGTTGGGTTTTGGGGGTTGGTGTTTGGGGGTTTAGGGTTTAGGAACCCAAAGCCCTAAAACGCTACAATCCGTAATTGATGCCTCTCGGGCCCGTCGGTTCGATGTTTTCGGTTCTGTGGTGGTGTCCCAAAGGGTCCTAGGTACTGTTACGAGGGATTCCCCAATTCATAGTTGTAACTCCCCAGAAAAGAAGTACTTAGACTATGTAGGTACGTTGGGTTCGGGCTGTTGGGGCCTGTGCGGTTAGGGTCTGACCGATTGAGCAATGGTTCATGGTTTCAGGGTTTAGGGTGACTAATGACTCTTTTCTAGTCTCTACACAATAACAGTGCGATAGAATCATCCCAGGCCCCTTCTCAAGACATTCAAGCACCCATTGTCATATCTCACGCGAAAACAGCTCCACATCCTAGACACCTAGCTAAAGCCTCCCCAAGGGTCCATGTACCGAATGGACAGGATTTTCGTCTGGGTTGCAAAACGGTTTGCTCCGTAAGGTTATACTTTGGCCTTAAAAAGGGTTCGTGGTAAAAACGGTTCGTGGAAATATAGTAGCTTACATGGTCACAGGATGTAGCTTATGGCTTGGATACCGTCCTAGCTCAGTAACAGTGGGTTATTACGATTGTTGATATAGATGTATGGGGCCCTTACCAATCCTCTTGTTAAAGTCTTGAGGTTCAGGGTGTAGGGTTTGTATGGGTGTCGGTACCCAACATATACCCTGAAATCCCCAAGGCGATTTGTTAGTATTTCTCAGTTAGTGTATATACATACCCCAAAACCCAAGTCTAAGTATTACGCCCCCCCGTATCAGCGACATGGTGCGGTAGGACCTGTATAGCCACGGCACAGGACATTAAACTTCCCAGATCTTCAACAATCTTTAAACTATGGGAAAGTGCACCACAATATGTATATTTATATACATATATATTTGTATAATAATATACGATAACGAACTTCAACGAGCTATGATATACTGTAGCTTGGATTGTAATTATGGAGGGGTGTGGATCCGTACTGTGATTGAAGGTATATTCCTTCGTCGAAGAGGATCTAGGTTCAGCCTGAATTCATGAAGCACCCAGGCATGTTCAAGTACTACGAGCAGAAGACTCAAGCAGAGTGCGCCACGAAGTGTGACTGGAACTTCAAGGACTTCAAAGAGTTTGGGAGCAGACTCAGCGTCTTTCGCGGAGAAGACTCATTCTCCTCAAACAAGATCGTCTGAGTTTAATGTAGGGGCCTGAAGACTTAGATTTAGGGTTTAGGGTTTTGGGGCAGTACATTTTAATACTGAAAAAATGGTGAGGGGCCAGGCCCTCAGGAATAGTAGTATGAGTTGCGCAGGCCCCTTTACTAGCTTTGGGAACACCCTGAGCCTCTGACGCAAGGTTGTCCATGCCCCTGATATCCACAACCATGCAGAGCATCTTATAATAGTTCCCCTACTATTTGGGCACTTGCGCCTTTAGGGTCCCAAGCCCTAAACCCCAAACCCTAACCCCCCAAACCCTAAACCGTTAAACGCTAAAGCCCCTAAACCCCTAAACCCTAAACGCACATGTCCTGAAAAAGCTCTGAAGACCGACTGTGGTGTTTTAGGAAGGCTGAGGCTTTCTTTTTCTAGACGTACTTCTCCGATGGGAAAGCTTTAAACCTTTGTTGGGCTTATGTATTCAGTCTATTTTATAACAAGTTTGAACTTTTTTTGGGGCCTAGTTTTTGAAGAAGAGGGTGGAAGCCTAAAAGTTGGAAGTTGGTTACCAATAGCCTCAGTCCTGAAGACTACTGTAGGGAGTCCCAGCACTAGTTCGCCTTGATCCGGTTTCCAACTTTTACTGTAGGGTTTCTTGCGGGTTCCTTCAAGGGTACCATGGGTTTCCATATAATAGTGTTCCCCCTTAAGGGCACTATGGGTTTCTATAATACATTTAAAGGGTACTGTGGGTTTCCTACTGTTGCATAAGTTCAGCGGGTTTGGGCTTCAGGGCTTAGGGGTTTGGGGGCTTCGGGTCAAGAGGTTCATAGCTTAGGGATGTAGAGTTAAAGGGGTTTAGGGGTTTAAGGTTTCAGGGCCTTGGGTCGTACCGCTAGGGTAGCTGCCTCTGATTCCAGAAAAGGACAACCTTGCAGTCACTTGCGCGTCCGGAACAGTTGTCTGCCATCAGAACATCCCGTTTTTTGAGCCTATCGGAAGGCAGGTCAGCCCTAACGAGCCGACATCAGGAGGGCCTCGAGCCCTAGACCGCATAATTCTCGACCTTCATGATGGCCCCAAGCACTATATGCCCTCGGCTAAGACAAAACAGCCCGAAGAGCTTTACATTCCCTCCACGGCTTAAGAGGTTTCAGATTTGAAACTTGATTCCATGCCTTTCGATGCCGGCGCGATGTCTGTGGCCCTGCCAGGGACGTACCTTGCGCCGGGAAGCCCCGCAAGATGTGTGGGAGACAACGCCTGGGACAGGGGTTTCCCGAACCCTTGACCGTAAAGTTCATACCCCAGGGCTTTGCAGTCTGAGATACTAATGTAGGAACCTGATTAAGAAACCCTGGGCCTATAACCCCCAATATAGTAGGAGTCATATGTAGGAACCCTAATAAATGCCCAAGGTTGCTTAATCAGGTTCCTACATTATTATAGTACCCTTCTAGATCCCTTATAGCAACCCTTACAGACCCCTTGAAAGGAACCCTAGAAAAAGGCCCAGGGTTTCTGAATCAGGTTCCTACATTAGGCCATAGGCCTCCGCCCTAAGCACCAACCCTTAAACCCTAAACCCCAGGGCTTTGCAGTTTGAGATACTGGGCCAATAGGCCTCCGCATCTAAACTTACCAGTGCACCCATGAAGCCTCCACCTCCTCACACGTTGCGCGACTGTGCTGCGCTGTTGTTCGTCTGGGTGCATCTCCAAGAGATGCCATCCGTTTGAAGCTGAGGAACCCAAAGGGTCCTAAGTATTGTTATGGGGCATAGTTCCCCAAATCATAATAGTAATTCCTAATATAGGAACCCTATATTCTGGCATAAACGTACTTTGGACCCTTTGGGGTTTGAAGCTGAGGAAGCTGCCTTTGCCCTCACGCCGCGACCCTAAACCTACTGCTTCGGGCTCGAGCCATGTATTCTCAAAGCTGCAAGCTGTTTGGTCCGCGAGCAGATGGACAGATAGATCGATAATTTCACAACAAGCAGATACATATGGGTGGTTGTCAAAATTAGGGTCCCTCTTTGGGTCCCTATTATAGTACGGCACCTACTATTTAGGGTACCCAAAAAGGGACTGTAATTTTGACAACCACCCATATATATATATATATATATATATATATATATAGATAGTTGGACGGACGGACGGACGCACAGACGGACGGACTGACAGACAGACAGACAGACGGCTTGCCTGGGCATTCTTCAAGCCATCAACAGCGGGTGTCTAGATTGGGTGTTATAATTGGGATGGTAGTACTACTCTACTCACAGCCAGCCTGTTGGCTATAACGCCTTCACCGCAGTTGCTGAAGCCCCCAGACCTTGAACCTCGAGTCTAAGCCCGCAGACCGTAAACCCAAAGTCCAATCGCCCCAGATTCTTATCCTCCCAAACCTCAAACCCAAAAGTCCACCAGAACCCTAAACCCTAAGCTAAGACCGAACGACATTCAATTTCCACAGAGAGCAGTGCCAATCAAACCGGGGTCTCTGGAGAGGAGAAGGAAAGCGTGGCCCCGCCGGGGAGAGGGAGCGGGGCTAGTTGAGACATGGGAGTTTCCGAAAATTAGGGGTACCTTACTATTTAGGGTACTTTGGGCCTCCTATTTTTGGAAACTCCCACATCCTGTGTATAGATCATTACCACATAATTTACACTAGACTTGTCATTTTTGATCATTGCCGGAAGGGCAGTCGTAGTGGTAGTTGTATTGGACGATGCGGAGGAGGCGTCGGCGGAGGATGAGTAGGAGCAGGAGGAGGCGGAGGAGGAGGAGGAGGAGGAGTCCTAGTCCTCGTCCTCGTCGTCTTCGCCGCAGTCGTCGTCATCATTGAATCATGTTTCTCATCATCGTCATTTCTGCCCCGATCATGACATCTTCACTAAAGGCTTGATTGTCAAACATGTTGCTGAACAAAAACAAGTATCTGCAAGTACGCTTGCCAGAGATCAAAGTGTCAAAGGCAGTTTCCGCCGCTGAGCTGGTTGCTCACTACTCAGAGCGCTCTGCAGAAGCAATCGGCCACAAGAATGCTCCGAGCCGTACGCCATGCACCCTAAACCCCTGAACCTGAACCGTAGCCGTAAATGCCTAAGCCCCATAATCCTAAAGACTGAAGCTCTGAGCCCCAAACCCGATAATCACTAAACCCAATGCCCTAAGGGTCCAAAGGACCCAATAATTGGGTACTCGGGCTTAGGATAGTAGTCATGTAGGTTACTATTTTGGAGAGTATACGATAATTAGGTACTTGGAACCTTGGAGAAAGCTCTAAGCCCTAAACTCGAACGGCCGTTGGAATTTCGGACGCTCATGCAGACGGAAAAGGGCCCATACAAAAAAAAAAAAAAAAAAAACCGAACGGCCACAGCCCCAACGCGGGCCCAAGGCCTTCAGCTTAGGCTGGGTGTGGTGGTACTGAGGGCATCCCCAAACCTGTTTCGGGAGAGGTTTGAAATCTGTAAGCTAATAGTTATACCATTAATAATTAGTATCTCTGTATAAGACATACACATATATATATATATACTCCACAGCACCAGGTCTTATCTCTCAGTCAGTTATCTTGCTCATGCCCCAGCATCCCGACGATTGCATAGACTGAGCATTTCCGCCGCGGCTTCTGACGAGAATGAAATCCTTCTGAACTGGTCTGAGCCCTGTCGCTGATTTATCATTGTGGGCTTAGGGTTTAGGACTTCTAAGGTTCAGGGTTTAGGGTTAGGGTCTACGTAGGGGCTCCGGGATTTATGATTGTCGGCTTTTAGGGTTTAGGACTTCTAAGGTTTAGGGCCTAGGGCCTAGGGCTTCGGCTTTAGGGGCTTCGGGATTTATGATTCTGGGCTTACCTTAACCCTGACTAAAACCTACCCTTGTTGAGGCTCCTTGGTATATTTTTTTTTATGTAAGTCCTTTAAAACGTAGGTTATTCGGGGTTATGGTCGGGTTCAGGGTAATTTTCCTGAACCCGAGTACCTGATTATTGGATCCTTTGGACTCCTTAACACCCTACTATAGAATCCCCTCAACCCCTTAGGGTTTAGGGTTAGGCTGTAGGTTGAAGCCTTACCCTATGGCTCAAAAGACACCAAAACCCTTATATAGTATGGTCTTTGGGCCCAAAAGCCTTAAAGTATGAATCCTTAGGGCCTAAGGGTTTGCGGTTCGACCCACGGTCGAGAGGCTTTCTAGGTTGCCTATGAACGGTCGTATCGGGGAGCAGACAGGAGAGACCGATATGGGAGTTTCCGAAAATATGGGACCCTAAGATAGTACCTTAAATAGTAGGATCCTTATTATAACGACCCCAAGATAAGGTACCCCTAATTTTCGGAAACTCCCGTATAGATCCTAAGCAAAGGAACATGTAATAAGTACCAGCACTAAAGGATTCAGCTTTTTGCTGGAACTTCCACGTTTTGCAGTCAGACACTTTGCATTAGACCTATCGCTGGCTTGCGTAGGTGGAGGATTCGCCGGAAATTGCAACCACATGTTCGTTCTGCGAGTACAAACCTAGTACACTAGAATCCCTATAAAGTCCCCAAGCTCCACCTTTAGTAGTTCCCGTAGTATATTGGGCAAGTGAGTGTCTCAATGCTAAATGTTCGGCAACTGAAAGGCGTGTCCACGAAAACTCGGTGGGCAAGAGTGTGGTGATTCGGGAATCTGTTCAGGGCCTCTCGTCAGCTTGCACACCCACATGAGGGTCTAGCGCTTAAGGGTTTAAGGGTCAGCGCTTGAGGCTTTAGGAGTTTAGGGGTTATATAGGGTGTACCGGTGAAGGCTAGGATGCAGAGTTTCAGGCGTAGGTTTTGCTGAGGACCTATAGGGTAGTTCGAAGAGCAAAACCTTAATATGAATTGAAAACCCCCGAACCCTAAACCCCAGAACCCAAAGTACACAGAAGAAAGGTGGTCAATGAAAGGTCGTTGTAAGGTTTTGAAACCGACATCAACAGGAGCTCATCTGTAGCTTTGCCCTCAGGATCCAGGTACCAACGCAGTGTGCGCTTGCCTACAGAGACCCCATATAGTACCTACTGTATCCCCCCAAACCCTACAAAATAGTAGGTTATGACCCCTTAATTAATTGGAAGGCATTCTTAAGACAGCAGGTTGTTCGATCCCCGGATATCTTGATTAGAAGGTATAACGCTTAAAGCAGTAGGTTTTTAATCCCCATGGTTCAACTATCTATGAGTGCCTTACCACCTCAAGCGGCAGAGTACTTGGACCCCGAGGGCCAAGGGTTTGCCGCGGACAGAGTGATGCCGGCAAAAAAGATTTTGCCAACGCAGCTGCGTTGCCTGCATACTGAGCGACCAGACTATTTCTGCAGGGCTTTTTTGAAGCTTTATGGGAGCAGTAATCAGTACTGTACTCCATAACGTGAAGAGCTAGCCTTCTGGGGTTGGGTTCTCCGAGATTTATTGTCGAATAACATGTGCTTGTATGGCGAGTTTAGTCCGCGCGCCTGTAGGGACACGAGTTTTCCTCCGTGTACGGGTTCCGCTTGAATCGGTTGCTGCGAGGTTTCGCGATGTAGGTTACGGATATGCCATTGTGTTGGCCAGTGATCATTATAAGGCATGGTAGTGGTGGACTTGCGAAGAGGTTCTTTGGTTCCAAGGCAACACGTTCAGAAGCTGCATTAACATGAAGGGGAACAACAAGTTTTTCGCACAGCATGACCTAGCTGTACTCGGATCCATCAAGTTGCATCTCAGGTTCGTGGGTCCAGGGATCAGGTTTCAAGGGTTTTGGGGAATCGGAGTCAAATTCAACTGTGTATATATCATGTAGGCCTGACATCCCAGGACTTTCGTCTTTCACTCCGCCGCGGAACCTGAAGCAACATCACCAATCGAAACCACAATCTCAGGATTTTTCCTCGCTTTACAGTTGAGAGTCAGACCACCGTTATGTTTGTTGTGTAAGTTTTTTTGCTGTACAATCTCACGGCGCAGTTCTCCTGCTAAGACCCGTGATCCTGTCCGTGGCAAGGTGGGATCACCAGATCCAGCAAGGGTAAGCCCGAAGACAGCTCAAAGGAGTGAGACAAAGAGCACGAGATACGAGAAATGTTCATATATATATATATATAACTAACTACAATGTGTATATATATATAGAATAGAGAGAGAGAGAGAGAGAGACAACTATCTTTACTATATATATATATATATATATAAACACGCCTGCAATAACGTATGTGCACTCGACACACATACATACGCATGCACGTGCATATATGTGTGTATAATTAGTTATATATATACATATATATATATACACACATACATACACATTTGCATATATACGCGCATACATACATACACACTTACATACATACATACGTACATACATACATGCATGCATACATACATGTAGTAATACTCACATACATGCGCACGCACACACGTATCCTGCGACAGCTGCTGCAGATACTACGATATCTTACTTCCACCTTAATTCACAAATTGTGTCTAGGCCTCTGTAACTTCAAAATGCCCCAACAACCAACACCGAAGCATACCAAGTTCCCTGATCCCTTTCAGCCTCTCACAACTCACCTACAAAGTTCCCTGATGCTTAGCTCTTCATCTCTAATTCCTGTACGCAGAATCCCGAGACCCTGATGGTCCAGGGTTTAGGATCTAGGGTCCGGTTCATTCAGGGATCATAATCCCGAAACTTTTGCCCCTGAAGCCTGAACCTTTAACTGATCCCATCACGATGTCCTCCTAAACTCTACCTAAAACCCTCAAAGTAGGTAAAATGGAGCCCCACCAACACCTATCAAAGGCTGTTATTCCACAAACTGTCGGGGCCTGTCCTTGAGCCTATCACTCCTGAGACAGGCTTTGCGCCGCGTCTCGCAGGCACAGCTGTTGCAGTTGGGCGCTGCTATGGCTTCGGGTTCTTCAGGGTTTAGGGCCTGTATGGTTTCTAGGGAACTCCAGAAAGTTGGAATATGGTTTCAGGGTAGGATACCCTATAATTTACCATAAAGGGTTTAGGATAAACATATTCCAACTTTCTGGCTTTTACTTTATGAGGGTTGAAGGTTTTGGGGGTTCAGACTAAGTCTATCCTAGGCGTTGGTATCTACAGGGGAGGGTTGCTTTAGTTTTATCGACAGTGACCTCCAGAAAACGGGAACATGGATTGAGGATGACTAGCGCAGGAATGCCCTGTAGTTTGCAACAGGCACATGAGGATAATGCTGTTCCAACTGTCCGGCTTTTCCGGCAGTTGAAGTTTTCCTTGCATCCAAACGGACATCCATTGCCTCAGTATGATTTAGACCTTCTAAAACCAAATCCTACAACCTAAACGTTAGACCCTGAGGGTTTGGTGAGCTTGTGTTATGGCAGCTGTGGCTTTGAAGGGTTTACTCTGTTCCATAGGAAGTCGTGGGTTGCGGCCTCTACTTGGAGGTTCAGGGGCAGTTATAAGTGGAGATATAAGTTTTCTAATATGGGTATAATTATCGTTACCCTACTTATAACTCCGCTTATAACCACCCATGAACCTCCAAGTAGGCTGTGCGTTTGAGGCTCAGGGCTTGCGTGGAGTTCAGGTTTCTAGGTTTAGGGCTGGAGGGTTTTCTGTCTCCTCTTTGGGGGTGAAGTGCTTAAAGCAAGTTCACATACAAGCGGGACACGTCAAGACGAACACATGCTTGGTTCTGGGGTTTCAGGATTCATGTATAGAAGCTGCCATGCAGTTTACTTCTGTGCCGAATATACTGCTTATGGAATATCGGTAGTGAGTAGATCCTACCGCAAAGCCCGCACCTGAAACCCCTAAACCTCGTAATCCCCGGACTCTTTTTCCCGATGAATTAAACCCTTAACCCTCCGCCGTAAGAGTCGATATGCTGCTGTTTCAGTGCTTGGAGGAGGCTGCAGACCAAAGTCCTGCATTGAACCTACAGGTCCGTGCGCCGATATGATTTACATGTGGTATGCACACTCGTACATACATATATGCATGCATACATACATACATATACATACCTACATAACTATGTACAGACAGACAGACAGACAGACAGACAGACGAACATCCAGACATCCATAGAAGCATATATGTAGGTAGGTACGTATGTATGCATGCATGTATGTATGCATGCATGTATGCATGCATGTACGTTTCAGTGTATGTATGTATGCATGCATGCACGCACTTTTTGTCTGTTTGTCTGTCTGTCTGTCTGTCTGTCTGTCTGTCTGTCTGTCTGTCTGTCTGTCCAAATGTGTGTATGTGTATGTACATAGGTGTCGTCTATGTATATACATATATATCCTTGAAGGTCAAACAAAGTGTTTGTGTATATTTAAATAAATATGTACATATATATATATATATATATATATGCAAAAGCACATATGCACGTACTCACACCTACACATACATACCTTCGATATGACAAATTTAGGGCTCTTGCAGAGTGTTTTGGGGTTGTTGGAGTTCTATAGGATTCCTCACTCCCCATGTTCGCAGCATTTCCAAGCCGAGCAAGTCGCTCGACGTTGCCGGTTCTGATGACCACAATGTAAGCCAATCTAAGCCATGGCTTGGGCAGGCCGACATTGGGTAGATTTTGTCAAGGGAAGCTACCGCAAGCTTCGCTACATCAACTACGACATCCTTTCACGGCGGTCCTGGCTTCATAAGCTCTTTGCTGCTTGCTTCAACTGGTTTTGGGCTGGGCGAATTTTGTACGTCGACGCTGATGCTGGTGAGTGGAAATACACCACGGAGTCCGCTCTACGCAAGCCCGGCTCTAACACCACCCGGCTCGCAGTGGTGTCCGATACTTAGTAGCTGAATGAGTCTGTGCTATGCTTTTCGGATAATATATTCTCCAGAAGAACAGAAAGTTTGAATTCTTTGTCTTATGAACTCTATAGAACTGACCCTTAAACTGTTTTGTGCTTATGAGCTCAGCAGCTAAGGACACACACCTCTACCACTGGCAGCTTTGGGTTCCCAAAGGAGATATCCTTATCCATGCAGGAGATACGTTTGATGATACAAATCCTGCATTACCCATAATAAGGAATATACCATAATTTCCATAGTCTAGGGTCCTTAAGGTAATGTAGGATATATATCATCACGGTAGGGAGTTTAGGGTTCTCGGTTCCCTAAGGGTCCAGGTTTCTCCTTAGGAGGGTCCGGAATCTCCTAGAACGAGCCCTTGGGCCTCTTTGGGGTCTCAGAAACCCTACACTTTGAAGTTCCCTAAAGTGTTAGGACCCTTAGGATTAACACAACTCCACTGTGTTTTCGTTCGTTGAAGCTTAAGGGCAATTTAACAGGGTTGGCGGTTGGGGTGTAAGACACTTAAACTTATTGACAGAAGTAGGGGTCCCAGGTCATTATGGTGACTGATTACTACTATTACTAATACTACTATTACTATTACTAATACTACTATTATTACTACTATTATTACTATTACTAATATTATTACTATAAGTTGTTAAAATTGTTTGATATAACAAGCACCCAGGAGACTGCCTTGCGGAGTGGGGCAACGGTGCCAAGGAACTAGAAGACTTTGCTGCGTGGCTCCACGCTTTGCCACACCGGGAGAAGTTGGTGACAGGCCTTACTGGTGCTTAAAGAAGAGTGGCGAAGGGCAAAAAGAGATTTCTAGGGATTGCCGGGGTCCACTTTTCTAAACCCTAAGCCCCTAAAGCCCATAACCCCCAATCCCTTAGCCCTTCAGCACCAGTATGCAGGCGGCAACCACGACAAAGTGTTCGAGGACCTCGGACCAGAGCGCATGGCTCAGGTTCTCGCACCCTGTGGCGCTAGAGACTTTACTGCTCTTATGATTTGTTTGTTGTGCATAGAAACCCTCTAACTAGTTGCAACATAGGCTGCATCCGACATGGATCCCGTGCCTTGGAAGTGAAAGTGATATAGAAACCCAAGAGAATATGACAAATTGTAATTTTACTATTGTCCTAAGAGTGTTATACGAGATTTCGCTCCTCCTGGACATTGCTTTCCTGGAAGGTGCTGGTTTTTGAGTTCTAAAGTAGCAAGTATACGACATTCTTACGAAGAGTTTAGTTCAACAACTAGCAGCAACTATGATCTCTGATCTTGAAAGGGCTTCCAAGAGTAGGTACAGCCCAGGATATCTGCACCCGGATCTATGCGCAACTCGGGATGCCGGCGGTTTGGTCGTTGGAGGCTGCCCATGGTCTATCCGTGTGAATCCGACGTCAGTGAATCTGGGTTCTTGTCATAAGAATATTGGGGTTTGAGGAGCTTGATTCTTCTAAGTTACAATCGTACCAGGAAACCGTGGTGGTTACCATTAGACTTCTTGGTATGGTAACTCCCACAAGCTCCCAGTCAAGAAACCTACATAACAGCCTTGCAAACCTACGGACAATCTCAGAAAGTCTTATCGAGATCTTCAAAAATCCTTGAATTAAGGAAAGTACTGTCAAAAGGTAGGATCCCTAATATGGTTTAAGCTTTTTTCTTGAATTAATCGCACAGTAAAGGGTATTGGAATATCTGTGTCCACACAATCCAGGAATCGGGCCTTTCAGCCCACAGCCGACGATGAGCGCCTGAAGATTCCTCCCCCACGCTGCGACGTGCTGGTGACCCATGGGCCATCCATGGCAAGCCCGCTCTGGCATGCAACTGGGCGGGGTTTAGGGTTCTATGTAGCAAAATGTGGAGAGGCATGTCATGCCGAAAAAACGCTTTTCTCGTCATTGCAACTTAGGTCAAGTTCTTTAGGACAAACCCAGGCAGATGGGTAGATTAAATTGTCCTGGAGGCTCGGACGCCCCATAGCAAACAACCCTAAAGCCCTCAAATAAACCCAAGCACAAACACCTTTGAAACCCTAGCATCCTTACCCAAGCCTCAAAGTATCTACATACTAAGTTACTATACCGTTTTTGAACCCTTTGGGCGAGTTACATCCGAACTACCAAAAAACCCCAAACCCTCATAGAAACCGTTAGAGGGAAACCTTACAGAAACCCTAGTAGAAACCTTTAGAATACCTTAAACGGAACCTTATATGGAAACCCCATAACCAACCCTAGACCCTTATAGAAACCCTTAGAAACCCTTAAACGGAACCCTATATAGAAACCCTATAACCCCTGGACCCTAAACCCTAAACCCTATAGCCTAAACCCTAGACCCTATATAATCCCTACAACATCCTTAGGCAAATGTCCGAGCGAGCCGGCCCCGGCTTCATTTGTTCGGCCATGAGCACGACAAGTATGGCGTGACTGGGTTCTTGTTAAGGACGGGCTCTTGTTAACTTATAGGGGTACTTAGAAACAATTTTGGTTTTTTGTTATTATAATCCCTAAGAAACTACTAAAATTGTAATTTTTGCTAGGGTTCTGAGTTCAGTATAGTTAAGGCCGGGCTCCATGGAGGGTTTAGGGTTTAGGGTATAGTAGAAGCCAGAAAGTTGGAACATGGCTTTAGGAGGATTCGTGCTAGGAGCCCTTATGCTTTGGCTTAAGGGCATGGGGATAATGATTGCTATAGAGGGATCTATCCTTTAACCGATCGATACGGGTTCCTAAAAGGGTCTAGGATTAAGGGATAAGCTTCCAGAATAAGAGGTCTCTCTAGTAAATTCCTATGCTGTCTCGGTTATGATAACCTAATCTAAGTTAACTTCCTTAACAACCCAAAGGGTCCTATGTACTGTTACGGGTGATACCTCCCTAAGGCACAACAGTAATTCCTAATGTGGAAACCCTACATTCTACTATATCGGTACATAGGACCCTTTGGGCAAGAGCCCAGGTGACCTTCGAGGATGGCATGGTCCAGGTGAATGCCGCCTTGTGTACCTTCTCAAAGGGGTCCTAGGTACAGGTTGTCGCACCTGTAACGGGTTCGATTTCAAGGGTTCTGTAAAGGTTTAGGATATATGATATAAGGGTCCTAGGTAATTCTACTGTCATAGATTCTTTGGGGCCTGTGGGCTTGGCAAAACAACCATCCTGTGTTTAGGCTGCAGGCTTTGGAGCTCTTTTGTTCTTCTGGAGGGAGTGGGGGTCGATTGTAGGATTGTTGGAACTCCCTAGGCAACGACTTCTTCTGCGCTGTGCGGCGCCCAGTCGTCGTGGACATCTCGCGATCCAGACCATGACCTCAACGCTTGCGCTGGTGGACCTGGCATGCTACAGGTATTTTCCGCCGCTCGAGCTCCCTCTGCGGCACAAAAACTACCTAGCTTGAACACGCTGGACCCGAAAGTATTTCTGGTGGAGTACGTGTCAATCCTCGAAAGGGGCCGAATGGCTCGCACGAGGTCATGCCCGCCAAGCTGCAACTGATGCAGTCCTGCTGGAAGGGAGCGATGCTCGGCCATCTTGCATCTTGCGGATTTCTTGCCATGTGGTGCATGCATGACCCAGAGTCTGAACTCTGACAGCAGCCTGGAAGTCTGGCTTGCATCGTCATGTCGTCGTGAAGCTGAAGGGGCCTTACGGGTTGTTGGTTCAGGGCGTATGGGTTTAGGTTGTCTCGGTGTCATGGCGTACAGGATTATTATGTTGGGAAGCTCATGGGTGCTTGCAGGGGGGGGGGGGGGGTAGTTGCAAGCCATCAAGCTGCACCTGCAAGCTTCTTCTACTCGAAACGCAAAACCCTGAATCCTAAAACCTGAGCCGTAGCCCAAATTATCCCTCTTTCACCGAGACTTTGCCGAGACCTGTCCAATAAGACACCATACTTGGAGGATCATGGGACGTAGTAAGTAAGGTTATAAGTACCTCAATTGGGGTTATAAGTAGTTGTAAGTATAGTTACCCTAATTACAACCCTAGTTACTAAGTCCCTGGATCCTCCAAGCAATCCAGAGAAAGGCTACAGATGCAGCCGTGGCCAAAGCTGCTGAAACCGTGTCGCAGATTGACCAGGCTCCACTGTTTAGGGGTTTAGGGTTTGGGGTTTAGGGTTTAGGGTTTGCGGTTTGCACGGTCGAGTGCGGAGGGGCCGATGACTCTCAACCTGAAGCCTAAGTCCTAAACCCTAGGGGTTTACGTGAAGGGCGATGGCATTCGGTAGGTAGGAGTGCATATCAGGTATCCATCGGTCCAGCATAGTTATGTGGGTAGAATCCGGCCGAGAAGGGGTCCTTTATGCAAGCACATACTTCCCCCATGTCTGCTTCTGATCCCCCTAAAGGTTCAAGTGTTCCTTCTCATCGGAGTTTGGTGCCTTTCGTGGGACCAAGACCGGGTTCTTGTTAGGAACTGAATTTAAGTGAGAATAATGAGGAAACCCTATAATTTGCCATAGATGCCTATTATGCTATTTTTAAATTAAGTTCCTGAATTTAGTAGTTGGGTGGATACACTTTACACTCACCCACACCATAAGTGTACACTTTCTGGGGCTTATGAACTCGGCAACGAAGTGAACAAGAACCCAGAACATCTATGAATAAGCTCAGGGTCCCATTTAAGCAACAATGACAAGCGCTGCGAGTAACCATGGAAAGGTGCAAGGTTTCCGGCCAGGGTTCGGAAAAAGAAGCCCTAGACCGTTCACGGTTTAGGGTTCAGGGTTTAGGGTTTAGGGTAAACCCTAAGCTTGAAGCCTTAAACCCTAAACTCCCAAACCTCAAACTTCCCACCCCTAAACCCAGATCCTGAAACAAGCCCTTAAAGGAACCCCAAACCCTTCAATGTTTCGGGTTGAACAGCTTCCCCCGTGCTTTCCAAGTGGAAGTGGCCGGCATAATTAATCTAATATTGCGTTCGCCTGCTGTCCCTGCAGTATGGCAGACTTAGTTGATAGGTCTGAGTCGTCAGCAATATTAATTCATGGGGTTCCTTCGTGTACTTATAGTCCAACCCACTCCTCGAAAGTACCGGGTATAAGTGCACTGCCATACCACGAGGAATAACTTCAGGCTGTGCATACTTACTAATGTAGCACACTTGAACCATTCTTCCAACTTCCTCATTGCATCAGCATTCCTAGCATAGAGGTCGGAATAAAAAGCCAATAGTGTTTCCTTGTAGTCTTTATACAGTACAACACATGCCTTCTTGCAAGCATTCATGTCCTTACAGTATGCATTGGCGTTCTCATCCGCCTGGTTCAAGCCATCCGGCTCTGGAAGAATCCAGGAAGTCCAAAGCGGCAGTCTCTGTATCATTTTCCTTCATGTACCTCTCAAAAACAATAATCTAACTAGGAATCCGCTGTGCCCCAAACACGGTTGGGTGCCTCCACACTGAGCATATCTTGGACCGAGACCCAAAGTCAGGTTTCGGGAACATCGCAGAAGAGGCAACGACAAGGTCAGGGAGCCGTTTCGATAAAAGCGGTTTTGGGGCTTAACTTAGGGATTGGGGAAACACATACAAGCGAGACAAAGAAGCCACGGCAGGGCCTCATAGTGTTTGAGCCACCCGAATACGACTTTGAATCCTAAACCAAAATGCCAAACTCTTCAATCAACCCCTAAACCTGAAGCCTGTACCACTAGACCCAAAACCCCTCACCAAACCTAACCCCTAAAACCCTAAGCATGCAAGACACTCTTGGGCCGTTTCTTGTGCCGCAACACATGGGCATAAGCGCTTAGGTCCCAAAACGCTATATGAATCCGAAGGATATTCTGATCTACCCTGGAAAGGAACACGAAGGATATGGAAAGGAACCTATTAAAGGTCAAAAGGAGCCCTATAAGCCCTATACAACCCTGGAAACCCCAGAAAGAAAGCTTTGACAGGAAGCCCATTAAAGGAACCCTCAGTACTTAAGCTTTAAAGAAGCCCTAGGGATCTTAACAGGTAGCCCTTTAAAGAAACCCTAAAGATCTCCAAGGTACCCTTTAAAGGAGCCCTTTTAAAGCTAAAGCCCGCCTTCAGCGATGGGGTTTCGGGGCATATGGACCTCCGAAGCCATCCTTCCGCGCTGGAGCCTGGGATGAGGCACGGAGTCGTCTCTTAAGGCTCCTCAGGGTCTTAGGGTTTAGGGTTTAGGGCTCGGGTTCTTGCTGAGTTTCTATACGGGTGACTGCAACAGCTATTAATAGGAGTACAGATTTCTTCAGGTCCGTATGAAGGAGTCGTATATTTGGCTTTATCTGCGTCTCGCAAGGGTTGCTAGAGGCGTCGATTCATCACCGTAGCGCCATAGGACGAGGTTTTTGGATCATGTAAATGGGAGTTTCCGAAAATAGGGGACCCTTATATGGCACCCTAGATAATAGGATCCTTCTTATAAGGACCCCAAAATAAGGTACCCCTATTTTCGGAAACTCCCAAATGTTACATCGATTCAGGCGTTGAGGGTTAAGGATTCTCTTTCAGTCGAACCTACCTAGGATGCCCAGTAGTACCCTTATTCCCTTTTTGTAGTCCTAGGTTCCTTATCAAGTTACCCAATACCAAAAAGAGAGGCCTTTTTATTCTTAGGTTACTGGGTATCCTAGACACGGTCTGAACCTGTACCTCGAACTGCCAAACTCCCAATGCCGCAATTCCTCAAACCTCTACTTGCACCAACTCTACAGCCGCCTACACTCTCGGATTCATTCCATGAATCCTACGAGACGCCGAATGCAAAAGTGTGCATGTTTAGGCACCGCTGCCAGACGGCGCGACAAGCCTTTCTCTTCCTGCTGAGCACCAGGCCGGGTCAGGGTTTTAGGGTTCCCTGCTGGCTTCATTGAAAGCTTCATTTGCAGCATCGCATAGCATAGCACAGCAAAGGCAGTTGCCCTGCAGGGTAATCTGGAGCAGGTTGGTGTAGCACAGTTCACTGCATGTACTGAGGTATGGCATGAAGCGGTCCGTTGGTATGACATAGTCTAGTCTAGTCTAGTTCAGTATAGTACAGCATCGTATAACAGCGTATATCGCTGCATAAGGACCTAATCTTTCAACCATATACAATGAGCCTCCCAAACCTTCGATCTCAAGCCCCAACCTTCGACCTGCACCTTCCAAAGCCTACTCTTTGTTAGAAGCAGTAATATGGAAATTTTATAGGGGCTCTACAGAAAAGTGGGCTGAGGTGGGTTCAGGTACATGTTTACAAATCGTCTGCATTGCAGTTACTGCTTACCTACCTTGCTTTTCATTGGAGGACCCCAGCAATGGAGCCTGTTAGCCAAGATGGAATTACAGATGCTGCATCCTAGTATTTAAACTTGTTTGGGTAGTATAGTCCCTATAAAATGCCTATATAACCAAAACGGTTAACCTTCAGTTCACCATGATACCCTAAACCCTCAACCCTAAGCCCCGCTGTATAGAACCAGCCATGTTCGTGGGATTGAGGCTTCCGGCTGCGAGCACTTTGGAATGCAAAGACTTGGGGCTTCAAAGACTTGGGGCTTCAGTCCGGATTTAGGACTTTACGATTCAGGGGCTTCAGTCCGGGTTTAGGATTTGGGGCAATTTAGGGTTCAGGCTTTAGGATTGAGGGTTCAGGGTGTTGGAGCAGTAGACAGGCTTTGGACTGGGTAGGTCACGGTGCAGGGTTTCGGGTGTTTGCTGTTCGGTGTCTGAGTTTTGTTGTTAAGTTCGGGCAGTAACTGACGGTTTTATGCAGGCTCACAAAGGCTGTATCTGGCCTGTCCGCAGGTTGATACTGGTCTTATGAGATAGGGCGATAGAGACTTTCTTAGGATGTTATGTGTGTGTGTGTGTGTGGTTTTTGTGTTGTGCTTTATACCGGTTTGATGTTAGAGCTTGTTCATTGAAGGTTTTACTTACAAGGGCCCCACAAGGGTTTTACAACCATGCATGTTGCATAAGCAGTGTCTCTGTTTGTACAGGCTGAAAGATTCTTTGCAAAGATGACGGTGCTGCTATGTACGCGAATTTGAGAGTGTTCGTGTTTCAGTAAGGAGCATTGTTAGGAGTTGAATGCAAGTTACCACGATAGGCGTTTATAGTAAGTAACATGCCTTACTTGCTGTGGTAACCTCCATTAGGTTCATTAGGTTCCTCAGCCATACCGTAGCGTAGGGTGGAGCCAGAAGTGTGCATCTTGCACTAGGTTAGAAATCCTGAACCCGCTAACACCGAAACAAGAAGTGCTGTAAGACATGAACCTGTGCACCAGGGGATCTTCCCCCCGAAAGCCCTCAAGTTCTCAACCGATAAAGACTCAAGCCTTTAGTCCTGGCACTCGCCCAAAGCACGTAAACCATAACCCATCCTAAGCCTGAACCTCAAGCCCTTACCCTAAGGGTCCAAGTACCTAATTATCACATACTCTCCAAAATAGTAACCTACATAACTACTATCCTAAACCCAAGTACCCAATTACTGGGTACTTTGGACCCTTAGGGTTAATACGGACAGACGCAGTCCCCGGCCTCCTACACAGCCCACCGTGCTGGGAGGAAGCCACAGCTACCTATAGCCCGCAACCTGAACCAACAGAACCAAGCAGACCAGCATATATCGAGAGGAGAAGGATGCTTGCATTCTTGTATCAAGAGGAGAAGGATGCGTGCGTTCTCGTAAACCCCTGAACCCCCGAAACTCTGAAGTAATCCCCTGAGGTGCTTGCCAATTCGTCGAGGGCCTGAGTGGGGCTACTAGCGAGTCCCTGAAGGTCGCTCATGTCGGATCAGGATCTACTTGGAGGTTCATGGTTAGTTATAAGTGGAGTTATAAGTCCCCTAATATGGGTTATAGGTATAGTTACCCTACTTATAATTCCACTTATAACCTCCAAGTAGGGTTCAGGGTTCAGAGTGTAGGGGGTAGGGCTTAGGGCTTAGGCTTTTGGATTCAAGGTTTAGGATTCTCTGACCAGGATCTAGGGTTCAGAGTCCAGAGTCTAGGGTGTAGGGCTTAGTTTTTTGGACTCAGGGTTTGGAGTTTCGGGGTTAGGGTCCAAGCAGGTTCTGCTTGCCTACACCCTGCAAGGGGTTGAGGAATAGGGATAATTCCTACCTCCTGTACTTGGTAGGGTCATAGTAAGTGCATGGTTCTCTAAGGTAGGCTCCCTCTTCAGGTCCCCAAAGTAGTACGGCTTCCTAATCAAAAAGGATTCTCACAGGGACTCTGTTTTAGAGAACCACCCAAGCGATGTGAGTTTGTATTCCCTTGCATGTGCTAGGATACATTGAAGATGGCTTGTGGATCATAAGACCGGTGGCAATTCGGGTTCACGGCTGTCTTCCTGCGAGAGGGCCACGCCATAGTGTCAGTGAAGAGCCCTCCATCCTCAAACCCTCAAGAGTACCAGGACCCCCCAATGCCCTTTAATAGAGCCCTTATGGTCCTCAATAGTGGGTATTTGGGGTATAATAGAGAGTAGTTGGGGGGGTCCAGGTAAAGCACCAAGCCCTGAACCCCCCAAAAGTCTAAAGTTCCACAGGCTCTTCACCGCGAGGCCTGCCACTCCCTGCCGCGTCATGAGTCTCTGCTGCCATTAAACCCCGAATATAAGTTCGAATATCCTGAATTCACTGAAAGTTGTCCCCACGGGATCCATAAAATGGGGGCCTTACGTAACTTACTGATGAGAATGGGGTTTGGGTTTAGGGTTGTGGATACAGCTTTAATGCAAAGGCTTTAGTATGTAGAACCGAGAATGGGCAGAGGGCCCTACGCGGGCAACTTTGCGTCATGAGTCTGAGCTGGGATGAGTACCAAAAGTATTCCCTAAAGAAAGCCGGGTCATTTCTAAACCTTCAAAGGAATCCGGAAAGTTGCTTGCTAAGCCCACCCTGAGCTCTAATCTAAACTCTAAGCCCTCCGGTTCCCTAAGCCCCGCAAGCCAAGAAGTGGACTGCCAGCTCTTCAATCACAAAAGTGATGTTTGACATCAGACTTGCACTGATCAGCAGTACTACCGCAGGACGAAAGTTCGCCACACTGCCTTTAACTCAACATATGTGGTAGTGCCACCCCTTTTCCCCCCTAGATTCCTCCACAAGATCCCCAAGGCTCTCTGCCGAGAACATTATAGTAGTATATTTTTATTCCGGGAATTAACTACTCCGCCACGCTGGCCACGTAAAACGGACTTCTGGCCTCGCCGCTTCTCCGCGGCATATGTTGATGGCACTTTGAGACAATCCTCCGTACGTCGAAACTTTTGTCCCGGTGATGATTCTGGAATCATGTCTGATCCTCGCAACTAACCCAGGACATGTAGCTTCAAGGTCACGGTGAGGCAGTGTCATTTGCCGATTAAAAAGGTCGCGGCGAGGCAGCGTCATTTTGGGGTGCCAGAATCCAGAGCAATGCTCAAGAGGCCTTTGCCGCTCTTAATGTCGTTATTTTTGCACTCGGCCGGGAGGACGAAAGTTTTGCCCTACTGGGCCTTTCTTGTCTTAAGGCAGCTTGCGGAGTAGCGGAGTAGCGACAAGTGCGATTTACGTGGCCTGGCCAGCGGAGTATTTTATACCCCGTTTTAAATTATATACTGCTTTAATGTTCCGGAGGAGTAACCGGTGGGTCCTGTGCGCTAGGAGTCTACGGGGGAATGGGGGCCTGCCTTGGACGAAACAAGGAATAGGTCAAACTTTCGTCCTACCGCAGCGTCCTTCTGGGGTGCCAGAATCCAGAGCAATGCTCAAGAGGCCTTTGCCGCTCTTAATGTCGTTATTTTTGCACGCGGCGGGACTGCAAGCCCCGAATTGCCCGCTACCGCAGGACGAAAGTTCGCCACACTGCCTTTAACTCAACATATGTGGTAGTGCCACCCCTTTTCCCCCTAGATTCCTCCACAAGATCCCCAAGGCTCTCCGCCGAGAACATTATAGTAGTATAATTTCATTCCGGGGAGTTAACTACTCCGCCACGCTGGCCACGTAAAACGGACTTCTGGCCTCGCCGCTTCTCCGCGGCACATGTTGATGGCACTTTGAGACAATCCTCCGTACGTCGAAACTTTTGTCCCGGTGATGTAGTACTCATCGTCGTCGTCGTCGCAGTCGTAATCCTGGTCGTCATCGTACTCGTAATAGTAGTACTATAATACTGGTACTAGCACAAGTACTGATAATGATAGACAATATTGGAAGAGGCGGCAACAACAGTAGCAGCAGCACCTGTGGGCAGGTTGCAGGTCCAGGGCTTTGGGCTCCCGGTTTAGGGTTTAGGGTTTAGGGGTTTAGGGTTTAGGGTTTAGGGGTTTAGGGTTTAGGGTTTAGGTGTTGAAGTTCCTTCCAACGCCCGTGCATGACTGAGGAATACATTGAAATGTCGGTGGCTGCACGAGGCGGCTTGGATTATCCATCTCTGCCCCCCCCAAGCCTTCTAATGTAGGAGCCTGATTCCTAACATATAGGAGTTATAGCGCCAGGGTTGGGTTCCTTAAGCATCAACGATAACATCGCCAGTGCTGTGGCCCACACTCTGCCCTTCCTTTGTGGAAGTCTATAGTATAGGTTTAGGGCTAACGGTTTAGGATGTACTGAACCGTCACAGTCATCTTATTTTGTGATATGTCTTGGAAGAACTTGTAGAGATATGCTCCTCATGCTAAAAACAGCTTTGGGGAAATTGTCACCACCACCCCCCGTGTCCTAAATTGCAATGTTGTGCATATGCAGACGACCCCCCGAACCCTGAGCTTTCAGCCTTAACCCTAAACCTTAAAACCCAAACCCTCAACCCTAAACCCTAAAATTGCATCTGCAACCCCAGCCTTCAAAAAAGCTCGCGCCCTCAGTACATAAGCCGGATCTCTTCTGCCGCAAATCCTTGCCTCAACCCCAGACCCTACCTTTGTGGGGTTCCTCTTTGTCAGAGATTTCCTGCAGAAGTCCAAGGATGGTAGAGTTTCGGATTTCGAGAGCTTAAATGAGCCCTCAGGCTTTCAACTCTTCATCAAGCACCTACCCCTAGGCCCCAAAGTAGTTTCTTTTTGGGATTACCTTATAGGATTCTATATATGAACCCCGAAAGGAACTACTTTGGGGGTACAGACTAGAAGGTTTAGGCTTACGGCCCAAGTCCGGTAACGCAGAAACTTAAGCGACAGAGCCTGACATCCCAAATCCTTTCCAGGTTTCGAGCTTTTGGTTGTTAACCGGGATCCGGGCCTTTCAAGAACAGGAGTTTAGACTTGATGTATCAGCCCAGATCTTCCAATATGATAGGATCCCTCATACTAGGTTCCGGGGTAGCACCCTTTTGCACAGTTTATTTCTGGGTTCCCTGATTGAAGACAAGCAGTAGGAAAAAGGGGTACACTTATCATTAATAGGCTCCGGGGGAACCTAGAATACGAGTCTTGATTATTGATCTGGGCGGGGTCAACAGAGTCAAGGGTTTAAAGCTACCACAGCCTAGATCCGGGGAGCCACATTTCTCGCTTAAACATCATCGTCATGGGGCTCAGGTTCGGGTTGTTTTTTCCGGACCGTCCCTTGGATGCGGGTGGTTGTCAAAATCATGGTCCCTTTTTGGGTACCCTATTAATAGGTGCCGTACCATATCAGGGACCCCAAAAAGGGACCACAATTTTGACAACCGCCCATGTGGAAGTAGCGTCGACATCCGGAAGAGCAACATCGTGGATGCCTGGGCAAAGTTCGGGGCTTCAGGGTCGAGCAAAACGACTTTGCTGGAAGTTCACTCGACCCTATCTAGCCCTTGATGTGGGAGGAGCTAAGGAGCCAGTTATGATGATAATCCCTACTAAATAAGGAGCTAAAGAGCCAAGGGATTCCAAAACCATCGGTTAGCTATACCCAAACCCGGAGTCCTAAACCCGAACGTGTCGCAGCTGAGACGAGGTTGAGCGGTGGGAAGCGGAGGTCCTGACACAAACCGAACTGGATATATAGTAGGATGCTGATTATAAGGACGCCCCAAACCCCTAAACCCTTAGCCTTTTCCGCACACCCGTTTAAGCCTCCACCCGAACTGAAAGGACTAAGCCGTAAAACCCTAAGCCCAACTAAACCGCCCGGTGCCATAGCCGAGGCTGGGCAAGTGCGGAGCAGCGAAGCCCCGCCTTTGCCGGCGCCTGCGTGGAACAGGCCCAGCGGTTTTTTGAGGGCAGGGTTTAGGGGTTAAGGTTTTAGGCTTTGGGATGTAGAGGTTAGGGTTTTAGGGTTTGGGGCTTAGGGGTTAGGGTTTCCCTAAACCCTAAACCCCAAGCCGAAACTGTCTGGGTTTAGGGTTCAAACCAGATTGGGGGGGGGCTTCGAGTTTTCCCCTTGCTGCCGCATTGTTACGATGCGAGAGGATGGCGGTGCAGTGGCATCCGGGCGCTGGCTACGGTTGATGATGTAAAACCTGGGGTTCCTTTACAGGGATCTAAATGGGCACCTTTACGGGATTCCTTTAAGGGATCTATAGTTTTAGGGTTTACTGATATACATCCTGCGTTGTCCGTAATAAGGCATATATACCACAGTTCTCACAGTCTAGGGTCAATAAGGTAATGCAGGATTTATGTCATCAACCGCATGGGTCCGTCCGACCTTCCACAAAGTATTTCGTGCATGTACCCTGGTTCTTGGGTATGCTCCACTCTACTTGGAGGTTCATGGGTAATAGTCATAAGTGCAACTCTAAGTAAGCAGGGTAACTATAACTATTTACCCATATTAGAGGACTTGTAACTCCGTATATAACTACCCATGAACCTCTAAGTAGGGATGCAGATTTTGTTGATCTCAGGGTTCGAGCCGTATATGCCGAGAATCACAAAGCTAGGGGAGACGCTTGGGGGTTTAGGGGTTTAGGGTATGTCTAGGGTTCAGGGTTTAGGGCTTAGAGCTGGGGGCAAACGGGGAGGTCCTTCGAACAAGGGTGTTCTGATTTAGGCTTGAATGCTGTGTTTGTCTAATGCTCAGCAAGGCACGTCTTTGCCGGAAGAGGGACATGACGAGTCGTGCGAGCATGAGTAGTTCCCGGACCGCAATGTTTCCGCACCAAAGCAAGCAAGGAAATCTTAGACCCCAAACTCCATAACTGTAATTAAGCCAGCCCAAAGCCCTGAAACTCGGCACCTAAATCCCAGAACACGACACTGAGATTTGGCAGAGAACCAATGCCTGCTAGTTGGTCAGAATCCCTTACCCTACGGATCCATCTACGTAAAGAGAGAGTATATATTTTGGCCATATACTAATTAAATGAAAGTAGTCCCTGTATACTTTGGGGCCAGAGTATATAGTGTTTGGGCACATGGACCCCTACGGTTTCAGGAAGCCTGTCGTTTTTCCGGACCAGGGTGGTGGCTGCGGCGAAGATGCAGCGTTGAAGAGCCATCTAGTCTTTCCGCTGAATCTGTCGTTAAGCGTCCCTCTACAAAAATGGGGTCTTCACTTAGGCCTGCAAAGCTGAGCTATCTGTCTAACTAACTAGCTAACAACCAACCAACCAACCAGCCAGCCAGCCAGCCAACTACCCATCTGTTTATCTATTTACCTACCTAGCTACTTACCTACCTATCTCTCTATCTGTTTGTCTACATATTTACGTGTCTGTCTATCTCTCTGCAGTAACTCCACGAAGCGCGACAGTATTATTTCCAGCGTAAAGCCCGATGCGTTTCGTCGTTTCGGGGTGGCCACAGAGTGGTTTGCTCACAGACGGTGTGCAACGATGGTGGTCCATTGCAGGGTTTTTTCGGACTCCTCTCCCAAACCCTAAACCCTACACCAAGAGAAGGCAGCTAGTGCAAAATTCAAGCCTGAAACTCAGATCCTGCTACCTTAGCTGCCTAGGTTTTGGGTTTAGCATTGCCGAATGCAAGGCGAAGGGTTCATAGCCACCCATGAACCCCAAGCGCGAAAGAAAAAGACCCTGCAGCCCACGTTCCTGAGCCTGAGCAGGCCCCAGTTAAACGAACCATAAAACGCTAGACCTTGCACCGAAATTTACATGGCCCCACAAGCTTGAAACCCCCGAAACCTAAACCCTGCTTGGAGATTCATGGAGTTGTAAGCCCTCTAATATGGGTTATCATACCCTGCTTATAAGTGCACTTATAACTACCCATGAACTTCCAAGTAGCAAAGGACACGATCTTTGCTGACGGCTGTCGCGAGGGACAGCCAACATTACGGCATACATGGCCTAAGGAAGGTGAGCCGCCTGGCTGTAAATACAGTGGCTGAGGGCTCTAGGGGTTTCGGTTTAGGGTTTAGGATTTCGCGTTTGGGGTTCAGGCTTAACTTTTGGGTGTTTGATGGAGTTTTGCGGTGTAGGATTTGTTCTACTATCTGGGGTTCTGCGAGGGGTTAAGGGTTGCTTGTTCTTCCAATTACCGGCCGTTTCGGTGCACTGCGCACTGGAGCTCGGCATTCCCCTAACGGTCCATGTACCCAGCTAGTATATACTTAGGCTCCAAAGAACATAAAGAACCTATATAGGGAGTATATAATGTATAATTTAAGGCCAAAGTATATACTATTTCGGGAATGGACCCTCATACCCTAAACCCTACAACCCTTAAACCTATGAAGCCCTTATAGAACCCTTGGAAGGCACCCTTAAAGGAACCCGATTCGGGTACATGGACCCCTAAAGTGAGGGCTGACCTTCTGCGATACGCCGTTAAACCCTTAAATTCCTAAACCCCCAAAACCTGGAACCCGGTAGTAAACCCTACCTGGGAGTCCAAAAACCTATTCGTCTAGAGGTTATACACCCTCTAATTGAGGAGTCATGACCTATCCAGGCAAATTATAAACCCTAAACCCTTAAAGCCCTGAACCCCTAAACGCTACAGTCACTGGGGAGTTTGAGATCCGGAACCTGAAACGCTCGGTTCGTCAGTGGTACCCTTGTGCCCTTTTCTTTTTCTGGGTTCCTTTATGAAAAAACGAATCCAATCGTATATACTTTGGCCTTAAAGTAGTCCCTTTATTCTGGGACAGCTGGGTAACTTGAAACCCGAAACAGTCAGTTCAACCCTAAATCCCTATAACCCGTAGCCCTATGGAACCCGTGTAGAACCCTTCAAAGGCAACCTTAAAGGAACCCTGTAACCCTTAACCCTATGAAACCCTTACAGAACCCTTGAAAGCAACCCTATAACCCTCAACCCTATGAAACCCGTATAGAACCCTTTATACAGGAACCCTATTCGGGTTCGAAGCCCTCAGCTCCCGGAGCTCAAAGGTTCGGTCCACCTGACGGTTACGCGAAGTGGCTTCTTGGCATGAGCCCTCGGGGTCCAGGTATCTCCTTCGGAGGGTCCGGCATCTCCTAGCGAGAGCCCTTGGGTCTCTTTGGGGTCTCAGAAGTCCTGCATTTTGAGGTTCCCTGAAGTGTTAAGACCCTTAGGGTGAGCCCTCGGGGTCCAAGTTAAATCAGAGATAGACTGAATATGCAGCTATGCATTTAGGGTTTATGTCGGCGGTTTGTAGGCGGTATATAGGGATTTTCATCAATGTAATATTGCCGCGCCAAATGTTCAAAGTTTCGGCTGTATTCACCGTTTTTTACTAGCTTGCAGTTACTCTCATCCTTATCCCATACCCAACCACTGAAGAATCGGGTACGTTGGCCCGTCAGGGGAATGGGACAAACTCTACACTAGCCCGAATAACCTACCTACCTTTTTAAGAATTTATATCAGGAAGTCATAATAAGGTACCCTAAGAAGGTAGGCTATTGAGGGTTAAGGTAACCCCGAGCCCCTAAACCATGAACAGCAGACCCTTGACACGAACTCCCGATCAAAATCCCGAAATTTACGTAGAGGGTCATACCCTAGTTTTATGGCTAGGTTCCCGTATATCGAAAACTTTAAAGTTGGCACCTTGACAAAGGGGTCGGGTAGGACCCTATAGGTACGGTAAGGTTGAGCTTAAACTACCAAAGCCTACTTCTTTTCTAGTCCTCAATAAAGAATTATAGAGACCCTGCAAGCAGTAGGTTTCGCTTTCGGTAGGTTAAGGCAAAGTAGAAGCTTAAGTTGGAACATCATTTTCCTTATGTCCTTCAGGCAAAGCATGAGGAATCCCGGCACTACTCATCCTTAGTCCATATTCCAACTTTCTGGGCTACACCCTGAACCCTACCTTAACCCTGAATAACCTACCTTTTTAGGGTTCCCTATTATGATTTCTTTATACAAGTCCCGTAAAAAGGTAGGTTCTTCAGGGTTAAGTAACTTTTTTTTAGGTCCTAGGGCTCTAAGCCCTAAACCCTGAACCCGAAACCCTGAACCCTAAACCCTGAACCCTAAAGCCTAAACCCCTACATCCTCACGTTGAGGTCTTAGGGCTCTAAGCCCCCAACCGCTCGCGCCCTGCTGTGCTGCGACCGAGGTTGGACCGGGCAGAGTCGGTTTCGCTCACCCGAGCTGAGGTGGGGTCCGGCATCCCCAAACGTTCAGGGTCGAGGGTTTAGGGCTTTAGGATTTGAGGGTTAGAGGGCTTACGGGTTTCAGGGTTCAGGTTTTGCAGGTTATGAACGATTTTCTTGTTTGAATTCCCTTTTGATTCTACCGATAATTTGGGTTTGGAATTGCATGACTAGGGTTAAGGGTTTTATTGGAGCTTGGGGTCTAGGGGATGTTAGGCCTTAGGGTTCGGGGCTTTTGGAAAGTGCAGTCTTCCTGGCTTAAGGGGTTGAACTACTGGGGTCGGAGTGCTGAGTGATAGTAGCCCACTGTAGTCCCTCTTTTAGTATCCTCTAATGCACTCACCTTCTCTGACGCACCCCCCTGCTATAATAGAGTTCATGAAGGTGTTCACAGTGAGTTCACCATCTCGGTAGACCTGTGCCGCAACGGTCCTTTCTGAAAGGTTAGGGGCCATCAGGGTTCAGGGCCTAGGGGTTAAGTTGATATTTTCCTTGTAAACCCTGATCCCTAAACCCTAAACCCTTGCAAGGGTTTAGGGTGGAAAAGGGCTTGGCTTAGCGGCTTTTACAGGGGTTGTCAGTTTGCCCCAGCTCCTCCGCTTCCAAATTGCGTGGTTGTCAAGATTAGGGCCCCTTTTGGGCTCCCCAAATCCAAAGTGCCGTATGAAGAGCAGAGTTCTATCGGGTTCTTGAAGGGAACCATGACTTTGCCAGTTACCCTGTTGAGACTTACAGGTGCCTAGGGTTTAGAGGGCCCTGAATAGGCTTGTTGATTTTTGTTTGTTGGGTTTGGTTATCAACTTTTTCGTATGTTTGCTTGCTTGCTTGCTTTTGTGTGATTGTTCATAAGTTTGCTTGTCCACTTCTTATTCAGGATTTGTGCTTTATGTCGGTGAGGTGCCAGACCCAGAGACGATTCAGTCAGGTAAATATGAGAGTGCTGGGATATGCCGACATGCCGACGGTTGTAGGAGGATGTCGAGGCATTCCGTTCCTTGTGTGTGTGTGTGTGTGTGTGGATTTCAGCCGAATACACAATGATCCCACAGCTATATAAGAACTCGAGACAGTGTATCGTATGTCTAGCATCTGTTTGGAGGGGTCTTTCTGCCTGTGCCAGGTCCTTTCTATCTTTTTCTAGGACTACCTAAGCCGTAAACCCTGATCCGTATACAACTACACACTATCGAGCTCTTGTCAAAATACTTCCCGTAGCTATTAAGCGTTGAACGCACCCCAAACTAAGCACCAAACCATACACCCAAAAGATAGTTACGATCATGCACGATAAGGAAATGCCAGGTCATTTCCTGGCCTTCGCTGCTGGATCCATGGCACTGTCGCCTGGGGATCACTGGGATGAGGGGCCGTTGAATGTTAAAGAGGGTCTACGGTTTACGTAGTATATTTATGATGTTTTCGTCAGGATTTAGGGTTCAGGGTTAGGTTGGGAGTTCAGTGGGGCGTTCGTGCCTTAGCATTCTGGCCTGAATAACGACAAAAAATGTGGTGGACTTTAGTATGTCGTAGGTATCTAGAGACTGTACCGCGATGTTCTTGCTTTCTATTCAGACCTGTTGCTTTACCTCTAGATTTGAAGACATCATTCTTTTTGGCAGACATATCACAGTTGTCATTCCAGGGAAGCTTCAACTTTTTGGGCTGCAGGTATGGTTCTGATCATAGGGTTTGGAACCGACGTCATAATATAGGGGCCTTCGTACTTACCTATACTATTCTGCGGGTTCCCTGTTATAATTAGTATAATAAATACCCCCCCCAAACCCTATTCTAATTATTAAGGCCCTCACATTATAGAGCCCTTAAATTACCTTTTAAGGAACCCTATTCTAATTACTAAGGCCCCGTATACTACGCGTGGATCGCTGCCCCGAGGAGTGTCCGGCGGCTGCCTGCGCATCCCTGACGGCGCGCCTTGGGCCGAGAGTTCGAGGATTCCTTTCTTAGGCGTTGTGGACAGGGTTTAGGGTCTTTAGGGTTTCCCTTCTAAAGGGATCTATAGGGTACCATAGGGTATTTTAGGGTTTAAGGCTTTAGGGCTTTAGGGTTTAGGGCTTTAGCCTTGGGGTTTAGGGACTTGGGTTGGGGTTGTCGGATTCCAGGTTGTCAACGGATGGGAAACACAGCGTTCAGGGTTCTGATTCTGTCTCCCAATGTGTCCATATGTACTACCATTATGGAAGTATGCTCCTAAAGACCATCCTTTAATATGGTTTTAAGGACAAATTTCCATAATGGTAGTATATATGGACCCTCGGGGTCTACAGGAGTCAGAACCGAGCCTGGAAGCCTTGACCCCTCAACGTTGCACTTCCGCTTGCACTGGTTTGAACAGCTTGAAGAAGGCTGTGCTTGTCGGTAATTCAACTAGTGCGTTGGCATGAAGGTTCATAGCTGATTGAGGTAGGGTTTGCCAATTACGGGTGTCCAGAGACCGACGCGCAACCTAGCTACCGCATCTTGACGTCGCAATCCCTCGAGTAGAGTGCCAAGCCCAGTAATTTGTAGATCCTATACTCTAAACATCTCTAAACCGACCAAATTGAAAGTCCAAGAACCCTAAACCCTGGATTAGGACTGAGGAATGGGGGTCTGGTTTGCATTGCTTTGTTAACGTCACTGGCCTGTTCACGGAAGTCCCTGAGACCCAGGGCGGATACCCAAGCCATGGACATATGTAGGTGGGGGATCTCTGGGTTTGGAGGCTTCTTTTGTTTATCCACCTATCCATCTACCCAAGCGTATGTATGTTAGACATATATGTACACATACCAACATACATACACATATATCTCCATTTTCTACCTACCTACCTATCTATCTATCTTTCTACACATTCATACATACGTGCATAGATACATGCACACATACCTACCTACCGACCGACCTACCTACCTCAGTGCATATATACAGTATACACACATACATACATACATACATACTTACGAGCATGTCATGTTCATTCCATTTCGTCTGAAGTCATGTCATGTCTTATCATCATCATGTTTGTTATCTCTGCCTTTATCAGTATCCTTATCATTATCCTGAAATATACAAGCATGCACTAGGTCAGGGCTCGTCGGTTCCCAATGTTGGAGTCGGGCCGAAGTGTTCAGTTGGGTTCTTCTCCGCTGCATGAAGCTGTCACAACACAAACTTCGGGTTTAGGGTTTCCGTCTCTTGGCTATTGTTCAGCGGTTTCCTCGTCTGTTCGGTTTGTGTTACTTTGTCTCCACATACATTAGGTATAAATAGTTATATGTACATATACATATATACATATATATATATATCAACTTATATTTATAGATAAATCAAGATTGTTTTCTTTCTTGGGCATGCTTTCTCAGGGAGTAGAGCAACAGCTCTATTCTCGTCATGCTCGAACGCTGAAGTTCACGTTTTTGTTCTGGAACCGCTTCCACACGACTTGAGACAGCTCGCAACAATGCCGTGGATCAACAGAAGCCTATCTCCGCGATGTCTCGATCTTATTGAAGCACAATTACACTGGTTACCAGCTCTTCCCTTCCGTAAGTCCAGTACATGTTTCCTCGGAAACTCAGCTTTCCAGAACTTACAGTTGCGGGGTTTTACCATACACCTAACATAGAAATCGCAAGAACCCTAGAATTGTCATTCAATAAGTACATGGCAAGATCTAGATCCTGAATTTCAAGCAGAAATCCCAGAGTAAGGAATCGAAGCCCTACTTCAAGGATCATGGGACTTAGTAACTAGGGTTATAATTAGGGTAACTATACTTATAACCCCAATTAAGGTACTCATAACCTTACTTACTAAGTCCCATGATCCTCCAAGTACCTTCTACTAAACAACAGAAGCCAAGAGGAGGCCTCCTACCTTGAGGATAGCGGCTAGGGTTTACCCTAAGGCTCCAAAGTAGTTCCTTTTTGCGGTTCATATATAGAATCCTATACGGTAATCCCAAAAAGGAACTACTATGGAGCCTCTGAGTAGAAAGTAAGGTTATATGTTTTTTGTTTTTTGAACTGGTGTGCGCAGTATCTGATGTAGGTGGAGCTGCCATGTTCTCACTAAGTCCCATGGTCCTCATAATATCCAAAACCTCTACTGCACCTTTGATTTGAAGGAGCCCTGCAAGTTACGAAGTCCTATGGTCTTGTTAGTATCTCCGAGGCAGACCGTGGGAGCAAAGGGCTCCAAGTGAGGGACCCGGCTGTCAAACTGACACCTAAGTTTCAGTGGGTTTAAGGTTTCAGGGTTCCTTTAATGGGCTTTTGTGAGTTTTTTTTGTTTTTTATGGGGGTTGGGTTTAGAACCTTGGGGTTTCAGGGTTCACCCGGTTTTAGCCATTTAGCCTCCAAGGTAAATTTAGTTTAGGGCTTAGGGTTCAGGGTTGAAGGGTTTGGGTTTAGGGCTTAGGTTAGGTTGAGCTTTAGGGGGTTTAGGGGGTTTAGGGCCTTTTAGGGTTTAGCAAGTTTCGGGTTGTTTAGGGCCAGGGCCTAGTAGGGCCGGGTTTAGGCTTGGGGCCTGGGGGCCTAGGTCCTAGGTTAGGTCAAGAGTCTCCACTGGTCCACTGGCTCGATGTCGATGTTGAGTGCAAGAGATGACTGGCTCCAGAGAGATCGTCTCGACTCGTCGCTTGCTATGTCGGGCTCTGGTGCCTTCCGGGTAATTGTCGTCCCGGTGGAAGAGACTGTTCTTCATGAGCTCCTTCTGCTCATACGGAGCTTCTTGGACCCGTGATCACGGAACATGTAGAACTGCTCGAGGACGCTCTCCATGTTGGGTTCGAGCGGTCTGATCGTGCAGTTGACATACACGACCTCGCTCCGTCTAGAATATCAAAACCCCAAAACCCAAAACCCCAAACCCCTAAGCCCAAAACCCAAACCCCTAAACCCAAAACCCTAAACCTCAAATCTCAATCCGCAGACCCCTAAACCCTAAACCCAAAACCCCCTAAATCCCCAGAGCCCGAAGTTCCAACCCAAAGGGTCCAAGTAACGGTATAGTCTGTACTTTGGGGCCACTATATGGGAGTTTCCGCAAATTAGGGATGTACCTTATTTTGGGGTCCTTGTAACAAGGATCCTACTGTTTAGGGTGCTATATTAGGGTCCCCTGTTTTCGGAAACTCACATATTGGTACTTGGACCCTTTGGGCAAAATGGATCAAGGCAAGCTTTCCTCGAGATCGCGGGCCTCGACGCCACAACAACCGAAGAGGCTGCGCTTGCAAGAGTCAGGGGATGTAGAGTCCAGGGTTCAGGGTTTAGGGTTTAGGGATCCGGGGATTTAGGGTTTAGGGTTCAAATTCAAGGGATTAGGGTTTTAGGATTTAGGATTTAGGGTTTCAGGTTTCAGAGTTGAGGGCTCCAAGCCTTGGGGGCTTGGGTTTTTGGGATAGATCAATCAGGGGCTCCTTTAAGCAAAGCCAAGCTCCCCAAATCCTGAACCCATGAGCTCTTAAACGGGGGGTTAGGGTTTTTGGTTTGGGCGTTTCTGGCTTTTGATTTAGGGGTTAGGGTTTGTGGTTTGGGTGTTTAGGGCTTTTGGTTTAGGGGTTTAGGCTTTTTGCTCATCTCCAAATCCGTAAGCCCTCATCCCACAAACTATAAACCACAAATCCCAAGACATTAACTTGGCTTTGGAGTACCATAAGCCATACTTTGATCCTTTTGCTTAAAAGAACCAGTATGAAATAAAAGTTAATACTTTTTTCTCCCTGGTTACTCAAAAGCCCAGCAAAACCCCAACCCCACAAGATCTTGAACTTGCGACTATTGGACTGGACTCTTAAATCACAACGCTGTGCTTTAGGGTTTATACGGCGTTACATAAGTTATAGTGTTTTGCAGATTTGGTTTTGATGTTTTGGGCGGTTGCTCTAAATATTTGGGGATTTAGAGGGGTTTAGATAAGTCGGAAAGCTCCGTCGAATGCCTTTTTGGCGGGTTGGGGGACTTGCTAAGTATTTTGTTAGAGACCTATAAGCGGTTGTCATAAGCCCCAGTTAGGTACCTACTGGTTAAGTCCCCGACCCTCCAAGTCTGGAAGAAGGCACACAGCTTCATTATTGATGCGGCGCGGCGCATGCAGTTCTGCTACGATGAGTGGCTTGAAGGAAGGGTCCGTGCTTCGGGTTTGGAGGCGTCTTCTTGAGGTAAACCCCTGGATCATCCAGTATCCCCGATTTCAGAACTATATATTCCAAGGGATCTTGGAAGAGATTTGGGTCCTTAAGCCGAAAGTGGCTTGATTTGAGAAGAGTTTGGTGGGAAAGCACCCGGCAAGCTTTTCAGAATTCCTCTACGTCTCCCAGTAGTAACCTTTTGCGCTTTGTATTTTGGGATCAAGACCGAATAGTAGGAAAAAGGTGTTCCTTGCCATTGAGGGGCTACTGGGACCCCAATCAGAAAGTGTTTTCATTGTTGTTACTTCTCTTGGTTATGGTGTGTATTAGACGAGTGCAATATGAACGAGCCCTCTAGGAAAGCCATAGCCATCGCAAAGTCTGTCCAGGCCGAACAAGAACTTAAGTCATAAACCCTAAACTTAAACCCTAAACCCTCAAACTTATACCTTAAACCCCAAACAAAGCAAAAAGGAGCACTCATGTGGATAGCCAGAAGCGATAGTTTAGTATGAGCAGCCCCGGAAGTCGTAACCCTCAACCCTGCACCCCATACCCTCAGCCCTAAACCGAGACCCTACACCCTATCCCCTAAACCCGACCTTCACCCCGAAGAACCTACCTTCTAAAGGACTTATATGGGTGGTTGTCAAAATCATGGCCCCTTTTGGGGGCCTTATTATAATACGGCACCTAATATTTAGGTTACCCAGCAAGGGACCAGAATTTTGACAACTACCCATATAAGGAAATCAATAATAAGGAGCCCTATAAAAGGGTAGGATATTCAGGGTTGAGGGAGACCTACCCCCTAACGCTGAAGCGACAGAACGTCCGGTAGTAAATTCGCAGCTGTCAATCACACGCGAAGTCGGCTTCCCATGGCTGGTGTCCTTATTATGGGTGTCTCCGAAAATTTGGGTACCTTATTTCCGGGTCCTTATAGTAAGGACCCTACTATGTAGGGTATTATTTTAGGGTCCCCTAGTTTCGGAAACTCCCTTCAGGTTTGAATTAGGGGTTTAGGGCTTATAGGGTTTATAGGGCTTATAGGGTTTGGGGTTTAAGGGCTACACTATAAAGAAGAAGAGCCCTAAACCCTTAAACCCTAAACACTTAAACCCTAAACCCTAAACCCCTAAACCCTAAACCCTGAACCCTTAAACCCTAAACCCTAAACCCTAAAGCCTTAAACCCCTAAAGGCCTAAAGAAGAAGAGCCGAGAAGAGCCGGATCCGAGGTTGCTGCAAAACGAGCATCAGCAGCGCCTTTTTTCCTTCCTCGGGCTGATTGCTTCTGGGCATCCACCACTACGACCTAGAGTAGGCCCTTATTCCCTTGTTAAGGGTTCAGGCTCCCTTGTAAGCCCCTTTAACCCAATAATGGCACCCTTTGTATTCCTAGGTTACTCTTGAGTCTAGACCACGGGGGGCATGGCATAAGGATGTGTGTGACGCGCAGTTTTGCCGGATGTTGAACATACAAGTCTATACGGTGCTGAGTTTTATCTTTAGGGCCATACAGTAGGGCTTCGTCGAGTTATGAGTGGGATGTACCCACCCTCCATGCCCAATTCTATAAAGGCCTAACTTAATAGTTACCTAGAATAAGGACTTAACAAGGCCTATTTAAGGAAGTATAGTCCCCTACGCCCCTTAAGTGTCCCTCAACCCCATTGCAGAGTCTCCGACGCGCATGGCTTCAGGTTGCAGCGCTGGAGATCGCTCTGGCGCATCTCCGGAGTGACAGAGCTGAACCCAGACCTTCCAAACTCCCTAAATTAAGGAATATACCTGAAATCATAGTAGGACCCATAGTAAGGTTTATAAGATATATGCAGGAATATACCTTAAGTCATAGTCGGATCCTTAATATGATTTAAGGTACATTCCTTAAGTCTGAGTTCGGAATATCTCCCGGCAAGATTCTGACCTTGAAAGCCCAACACCGTTCAGTCAGGGAATGCCAGGAGTAACCAAGGTAACTTTACCCTGAGGTTCCAAGTACTCCTTGTTTATGGCTGTTGGTACCAAATTTTAGATCCGAAAATGCAACAAAGTCTCTAAGCAATAATGAGTAGGGCAATATCAAATAATGAGTACTTGGAACCTCAGGGTAAGCCGTAAACAAAGCGGTCCAAGGGAATTCCTCGGAATGCCTGATCTTCACAGGCAAGCCGCAACACGGTTGCCTCAAATACGCAAAGCTAGAGCACTACAACCCGAATGCTGCAATACCCACGAAAACAAAGTCCTAAATCAAAAACTATGAAGACCCGAACTCCTAATCCTGAAACCCTCAAGCCCGAAACCCCCAACCCTCCAAGGGTTAGATCTCTGAAGGCTCAGAAGCCGTGCACAACTCTCAGGCTTCAAAAGCCCGAAGAGTAAAGCCCTAAGACTTGAAATCCGCAACCCTTGGGGTTTAGGCTTGCAGGTTTCTTTTTTTTAGAGCCCTCAAAAAACAGACCGCAACCCTAAACCCCAAGCCGAAGCTTTCATGCCTTATACCGCCTCGGGGAACCAATTGAACCTTTCAAGGAGGCATAGTTATCTGATAATTACATATTCCTTTTTCGGGGGGTTCTTAATCGAAGTATAGTATAATGGGCCCCCTAAACCGTATTCTAGTCATGAAGGCATTATAGAGCCATTGAAAGGAAGCCTTATAAAGGGAACTCCAGAAAGTTGGAATATGGTTTCAGGGTAGGATACCTTATAATTGACCATAAAGGGTTTAGGATAGTCATATTCCAACTTTCTGGCTTTTACTATTATAGAGCCTTTTCAAGTAACCCGACGCCTCCAAAAGCCGAGGGTGGTCGCATGAGCTGCGCCCCCGCAACCCACACCACGAGGAGACCTGACCTTACTTGGAGGGGATTCTAAGGGTTCCTTTAAAGGGCTCTATAGGGGTACTATAGGGTTTGGGGTTTAGTGTTCAGGGACTTAGTAAGTGGGTAGTAAGTAGACTTATAAGTACCCTAAAAGGGATCCTAATTGAGGTTATGGCCCTTATAAGTCCCTAAACTACCCAGTTACTAAGTCTCCCGACCCTCCAAGTACCTGTGTGTAGGTTCTTCTTATAAACCCTAATATGGAATGTATAGGGACCCTACAATTATGTAGGTTTTGGTAGGTTCAGGTAAGGTTTAGGGGTTTGGGCTTGCGGTTTTGGGGTTCAGGGCCTACAGGTAAAGGCTTGAGGTTTAGGCTTCAGGGGGTTTAGGGTGTAGGGTTGGGTTTAAGGCTTGGCCTTTAGCCCTTTCGGCTTACGGTGTTGGCTTCTGGGTTTAGTCGCATAAAGCAGGTAAGACCCTTGTGGAAACCCTGATGCCAAGTCATATAGTTGCGATAGACATCCCTACAGCAATTCTGGTAGTTACCACTGCGGTAATGTATATAGAAACTTACAGCAATCCTTTAGTGTGAACGTTGCAGCAATCCTTATAGTAACTTTAGTGTGATCCTCAGAGTGACATTGGTAATCTCCAACATCGTGACCGGCTTTGTATCGCGCCTGAGATGGCAACCTGCCCCCCGGATGCTGACAGCCGAGATATTCGCATATGCCCCAACTGAGGAATACTGCCACATATCCTAAAGAAGGAATATTCCATCAGAAATGACAGGGGTCCTGTTGTTTTTCGAGGCTCTCGAATGCAAATATGAACCTTGGAAGATCTGGTAAGCCCCAAACCCAATCCCTGGACCCTAAACACCCCAAGCCTTAAATCCGAAAAGGAGGGTCGAACAGTTTGGCACGACCACTACAGCGGCCTGTACCCCCCTGCCTCTCTTCCGCAGCTGGCTGTACTTTCGGCTTGGGGTTTAGGGGTTCGGGATTCAGGGATTTAGGACTTAGGCATTTAGGGGTGGGTGCTACATGGATTTTTGGTGGGTTTAGGGTCTGGGGTTTGCGGTTTAATTAGGGGGGTGTTGAGGCGTGCGCCCATAAATCAAACCCTGTAGGATTATTAGGATTATGCAACAGCTTGATTATGATCCATGTGACTCTAGCTTCCTTCCAGGAGAAGCCTCTTGACGCCTCGCAGGAGGGCCTCTGAATCCTGCGTGAAGGGTTCCGTGGCTTAGAAATGATTAGCCGAAGTAGAGCCTTAGCAACATATGCCATATTCGGACACGTGTAACTCCGCCGAAAAACCTCTGCCATAAGCCAAGTCTAAACTCCACACGCCCAGGCCACCCTCCCCAGCATAATGCAGGGTCTGAAAATCAATCACTGATAGTATCCCCTTGCAGGCCCTGTAATCGCACACTATATGCTGCTGCCTGAGACTCTCTCCCTGAACCCTTAGGGTCCTAACACGGAGATACCTGGACACTTAGGGTAAACCCTTAGGCCTAACCATTGGAACCCCTGATAAACTAGTCGGTTCACGGTGGCTGAGGTCAACTATTCCGAGCAGTTTGCAGCTCGGTGCACAGACATCTCTTGTACTAAGCCCTAAGCATGGTGGGTTTGGGGTTTAGGGATCTAGAAGGATTGATGAACGATTGGTTCGCCTCACCCCTATTTTTTGTCAGAGTTCCTGACAGATTTATGTACTCAAACAGATGGTTTTGGGGTTCAAGGACATCAGTAGCATCTCTGTCAAGATCCCAGCAGAGAACCTACTTAGTCCTGCCAACTTCCTCGTCTTATAGGTGCATTGCCCGCTATATTAACGGTTCCTCTGGGTGTCGTGGAGCACCGGGATCCTGATTCTTTCACAGTTTGAGGTTCTGTCATTTAGCTAACCAATGGTTTTGGGGTTCCCTTGGCTCTTTAGCTCCTTATCTAGTAGGGATTATCATCATAACTGGCTCCTTAGCTCCCCCAACATCAAGGGCTAGTTAGTGAAATGTGTGCTTTTGGCCTTCGCCATTGTAAGCTTTGTTGAGCTGCTCAGGGTGAAGTTAACTTGTTGTTGCTGCCCTGTTCCGTAAACCGTACAAAACCAATAAGCCACATCAACCAAATAAGCCCAAGAAGCCCATCAGCCTCGCAAGCCCTGTAGTATGAGGCCCTAAACCCTGTCTCCGGCTATTCTCTTGGACCCAGGTCCTCCAAGGTGCTCAGAGAAAGAGCCATCGTTAAGTCATAGTGGGGATATGTCGCTATGCTTCGGTGTTTAGGAGTTTGTGTACGGCTTGGGGATTCGGTTTCGGAGTTAATGGGTTTAGGAATGGTTCAGGGCTTAGAGACAAGCTGATGTTGGGGGCTGAGGGCCTGAGTGGCTTGGCAGATCCTGCTTTGAGTTTGCACCATCGACCAGCTTGGGCCTGGGATTTACTTAGTAAGCATGCTTCTGGTAATGCAATAAAAGCCCGTACACAATCCCAATGCTGAATCCTGGAGACAAGTAGTGTGGATCCGGTGGGCTCATAGTTAAATCCTGAAGACAGGAACGAAGAACCCTAAAAGACCAAACACACAGCAGCAAGCAAAACCAGCAGATAGATACTTTCCAGACCCTATAATAAGCCTGACCCCGGTTTGAACCAACAGACAAATCCAAAACACTAATAATCAACACTAAACCTTACCGGAAGCCCTGGACAGCCCAACATCAAACAAGGGACACCAACAACCAGCAACCAACAGTCCCCCCCCCGCTCCCTGACGTTTTTCATACACAGCATGCAGCCCTAAACGCTGAACCCCAGACTCTAAACTCTATGCCCTAGTCTCGAAATCCTAGACGACCCTAAGTTAAATTTTAGTTCAAAAGTCCTAGACTCCACCTGTAAGTTTAAATCATGTAAACTCCATATAATAGATAAAACTTACCTTATAGAGGGATGAAGCATCCCTAAACCCCTAAAGCCCTAGACCCTAAGGATCTTCAGTGGCAGTTGGCTTCCGAGCAGCCGGACAGCGACTTTGCCAGGGAGCCTCGAGTCTGCGTTTTTGTTGTGTGCATTTGGTGGTTTTCTGGTGGTTTTAGGGCTCTTCTAAAAGGCCTATGAGCGCTTAGGATTCTTTGGTTGTAGGGTTTAGGGATTTGGGGTTTTAGGGGTGTAAGGTTTTAGCGGTTTAGGCTTTAGGGTTTCGAGTTTTCTGGGCTGGTTTAGGGTTTTGGCTTTAGGGTTTCGGGTTGTCTGGGCTGCTTCAGGTCTTAGGGTTTTAGGGCTCTTTTCAAGGGGCTGTGAGGGCTTAGGATTCTTATGGAGATCTTTTAAGAGTTCCTTTCAGGGTCCGTTTAAGGGGTCCACAAGGGAACTATAAGGGTTTAGGGATGAGGGTCTAAGGTTGAGGGTTAGGTTTTAGGGCTTTGGGGCACGGGGATTTTTTTTGGGATTTGAGCTTTTCTGTTTTTTTTTCGTGGGGTTTGTTGATGGTTGTGATATATTGGTCTTCGTTCGTGGGGGTTGTGCTGTGATTGTCTGCTTTGGGGGCCTAGGGCATGCGTTGCTCCGTAGTCTCTGCTGGACCCCTGACCCACCCAACCCTACACCCTTTTGAACCCCAACCTTGTCATAGTGTGGGTTCTATCACAATTTGAGGTACATTCCCGAATTAAAGGGTTTTGGACTATCTGGGCAAGCTTTCGGCACCTCTGACCTTCTCAACCCAGGATTCTGCACGGTCGTGCGCCAAGTCGTGCTTTTCTGAAAGATCCAGCGCCTGCTTAGCCTTATGCTGAGATCCCCAAATTTAGACCTAGGATGCCCAGTAGAACCCTTATTCACTTGTTGTAGTCCTAGGTGCCTTGTAACGGTAATTACCCAATACCAAAATGGGAGCCCTTTTTGTTTCTCGGTTACGGGGCATCCTAGTAAACCCTAAACCACCCCAGGTCGTCTGTTCGCTTGGACGACTGTGCCCTGAATGACGCCCAGCTGCAGTGTAGCTTCCGGGAGGAGGGTGCAAAAGGGTTTGCTTTAAGAGTTCTGCCATGGAGTTTTATATATATATATAGAGAGAGAGAGAGGAGGCTTAACAACCAGAGTAGGGTTTTGCTTACCATACTATATAAAAGCAAAAGAAAACACAAAAATAGTATAGGCAATTATTTGGGCCCCTATTGTACGCGGCTGGATGTTGTCCACCGGCGGTAGCGCCTGAGGGATCGCCTTCACACATCCTCCGATCCGATACCTAGTGGTAGAGTATAACTATCCTTCAGCCTTGTGGCGGTACTGTAACCGCTATAGTAAACCCTGAAAGTTGGAAACCGGATCAAGGAGAAGTCGTGCTGGGCTTCCTTATGTACTACTCTCAAGGAGTGAGGCTATTGGGTTTCCAACTAAAACAAAGCTTCTACTGTATATAATCCCAGTATACTCCCAAAGCTCAACCTTTAAAGCAGGGATGTTCTCAACGGCAACTAAACAGCTGTACAGGGCCCATGGCCCTCTGTCAAGAGAGCTTGAACCAACTCGCTTCGAGCATTCTCCACCTCCAGTACGGTGTAAACTGTATAGTGTAGGGTTGTGTGGAAAGGATACAGTGTCATGCGATTTCCTGCTTCTCTTCCGAGGATATGATTGCCTCCACCTTTGGTGTCGTCAACTTCCTGCCGCTCCGTGGGCTGCGCTTCATTAGGAACCCAAAAAGCACATAAGCATAAGCATGTCATAGGGATTTCTCACCATATTGTGCTTCATTATGAGGTGGTTTACACGGGAGATCCCTGCCCTTCGTTTTGCTTATGTGCTTTTTGGGGGCCCTACTTCAGAAGTTTCCTGTGTGACCATGAGCGCAGAAATTCAAAGTCGAACGTGGCCTTCAAGCCAGATACCAACCCACAAGGTCCTAGGTGTATTGTATATTGTTCTGGTTGTCAAAATTAGGGTCCTTTTTTGGGTCCTTAGTATAATACGACACCTTCCGGTACGTAGCCCTAAGGGTCCAAGTACCTGATTATCATATACTCTCCAAAATAGTAACCTACATAACTACTATCCTAAACCCAAGTACCTAATTATTGGGCCCCTATACTATAGAACCCTTATAGTATCCCTTATAGTATCCCTTATAGTAGCCCCTTGTAGACCCCTTTAAAGGAACCCTAATTATTGGGTCCTTTGGACCCTCAGGGTAACCACCACGAGAGCCGGAGGAACTGCAGCGCCGAAGCCTTGGAAGACCACGAGAGCGGCTCGTCGGCTGATGGCTTCTCTTTAGGGCGGTTCAGGGGTTTAGGGTTGTCAAGGGTTTAGGGTTAAGTCCAGGTTTCTCTGGTATATTCAGGGTAACTCTTTGAGGTTTGTTAGGTTTTGTGTTCGGATTAAGGTTTTAGGTTGGGTTGGTTAGGTTCTTGGTGGGTTTCGGGTGTTCAGTGCTTGTTATGTTTCGGGCTTTGGGGTCGTGTTAGGTCTCTCAGGGTGTGTTAGGCTAGGTTTCAGTGTTGCGGGTTCTAGGGTTTTAGGTTGTTCAGTGTATTTTCCCAAAGGGTCCAAGTATCATTATGGTATATACTTAGACCCCCCAAATACCCTATAAGTATATACCATAATGATACTTGGACCCTTTGGGTTAAGGTTTTGTGGTGCTTTAAGGTTTTATGTTTACGGCTTTCGGATCTTAGGGCTCCCAGGGTTTCTAGGACTCTAGGAGTTTAGGATGTCGGCAGGTTGTCAAAAATATAGTCCCTTCTTGGGTACCCTAAATAATAGGTGCCGTATTATAATAGGGACCCAAAAGAGACCCCTAATTTTGACAACCACCCATGTCGGGTTTTAGGGTCTTAGGGTCCGGATAGGTTACAGTGTGGGCTGCGTTGTGTTTGTTTATTTGGGATTGAAGGCTCAGCTTTTAAGTGAGGGCCTGGGACAGCCACTGCAGGAAAACCTCGAGTAGTTTCGGCAAGTGCCACCAAGCTTGTTGCTTCGTTGATGGATCTCGACAGATTGAGGCCGCTGGTGCTACACCTTAAACCCGAAAACCTTAAATCCTAAACCCTGAACTCCGAACCTTCAATCCCTAAACCTTGACTCCGCAATGACCAATGGGAAGCCCAAACCAAATATTTCAAGGCTAAGGCTGTTAGTGGAAAGGCTTTGTTCCGGTTTCATTTGATATTGCAACTGGTTTTCTGCGCTTTAGACGCGGAACATGTTCCTGTTGCCGTCCCTTTTGTGTCAAGCCTTACATGCCGTGCTGAGCAGAGTTTAGCTGAACCACTCGACCCAAGCCGCCCTTAAACCCAGTCAAATCCCAAGTCATACCACCCGAAGCAACCCCCACAACTCCAAAAGCCTACAACCTGAAAGCCCTATAATCCAAAACTCTCGCTCCAAACATTGTATAGAATGCCCAAAGCCTAAACAAACCCGAAACCCTTACAGTAGAAGCCCAAAAGTTGGAAGCCCCATAGCTTCAATCCTCAAGGGTAATGTATAGGGAATCCCAGCACTATTTGGCCTTAACCCGGTTTCCAACTTTATGGGGTTTACTGTAAGCAGAAACCCCATGCTTTAAACCCTTATTAGGGTTAGAAGGATCCCTATAGAACCCTTTTAAAGGAGCCCTATAGACCCCTACAATAAGCCCTCAACCCGAAGCCCTAAACCCTAAACTGCCCTAAGCCCCTGAAGCCTGAAGGGTTGGAGCGGGGCATCTCGCGGCAGAACTTCGCCTCTCCTCCCGCAGCCATGTGAGGGCTTATGGGTTTTACGGATTCACGGGTTTAGGGTTTATAAGGGTTAAGGGTTTAGGATTTAGGGCCTTAGGGTTCAGGGTTTAGGGCTATGTGAGGCTTATGGGTTGTACGGATTCAGGTGGTGGGGGATTCAGGGTAGGGTTTCGGGTTTAGGGTTGAGGGGATAGGGTTTCAGATTTTAGGGGAACTGATTTGGGGTTTATACGGGGATTTGTTTGTTTCGGTTTGTCCAGGGCTTGGGCATTTTGGGACGTCGACCAAGAGCTAGTAGCTAGTCTTTGAGTCTACAGGCTTCGCTGAGCCAAGACAACGGTTCAGTTTAGTTATAGTGAACCCCAGACAGTTGGAACATAGATTTAGCATGATTCATGCTGGGATTCCCTATACTTTACTTTAATGGCATGCTGCCGATGATGTTCCAACTTTCTGGCTTCTACTGTAAGGTTTTGGGGCGTGCCCTCTGCCGTCGTGATTTCGGTCCTGAGACGTCGCCGAAGATCCATACCCTCTGCCTGCTTCCTGTGCCTTGAACGATCAGAACCTACAGTACGAGCCCAAAACGTAAAATGAATGGATATACAGATGGTTCGAGATATCTCCTATTCCCCTTGCGCTTGCTTCCGCAGGCATCTTCCCGTCCTGGGCCCCGAACCAGCACTATAGTCGCTAAGACCCTGAACCCTAAGCTCGACAGCACCAAACCCACAAGACCTAAAACCCTAAAAACTAAACAGGGGCCCCACAGCGTCCCTTTCTGGAGGGTGGGAGCCAAAGGCCACAATCCTACATCTACCGTATACCTCAAGCCCTGCACCCTAAACCTACACCCTAATTACCCTAAACCTTTAAATCCTAATCTCTCCACCCTGAACTCTACACCTTACGACAGCATGCTCATAGGAGGCCAAATGGGGGTTTAGCAGGGATTAGGGTTCCCATAATAGGGTTCATATTAAGGAATCCCTACCCCAAGAATCTTAAACCCCCCTTTTGGACTCCCATCACACGCCCATCTACCGTACACCTCAAGCCCTACACCCTAATTACTCTAAACCGTAAATCCTAAACTCTCCACCCTGAACCCTACACCTTAAAGCATGCGCCTGCTTGCCAACCACCTTTGCCCCGGGCTTGGCTTGCAGCGGCATTTCCACTCCCTGCGCCTCGGCTGCCCCAAATCCTAGGTACTTAGGGTACTTAGAAATGTAATTTTTGCTAGGGTTCTAAGTTCAGTATAGTGTTAGGGAGACCCCTTAAAGGGGACCCTTCTGAACCCTACCTATGGCTTTCTGAAAAGGGAACTTATTGAGAGGGTCTATATCCCCAAGGGTCCCCCTAATCCTAACTTCTACCAAAAAAGCCCGCAAGGGTTTACTTGGAGGGTTGAGGACTTGGTACGCACAGTAAACGCCCAAAAGTTGGAAACCCCATAGCCTCAATCCTGAAGAGTAATGTATAGGGAATCCCAGCACTTTTTGGTCTTAACCCGGTTTCCAACTGTATGGGGTTTACTGCAGTTAGTCTAAAGAGTTATACGCATCATAACTCCTTTCAGGATCGCGTCAGCTCGAAAAACGTACTTACGAAGTCCCTCGAGCAAGTATTCACGGAGTAGGGTGTACAATGTTTAGGGCTCAGAGTTTAGGGTTTATTTATTGTTTAGGATTTAAATTTCGGATGTCGGGTTCAAACGTGTTGATAAAGTCGAAAATAGGTATCTGGTGATAGTGTGTAGATTTCATGGTGTAGGGCTTGGAGTTTAGGGTAAAGGTTTAGGGCGTACGGTTCAGGATGCAGTTTATAGCATATAAGGAACAGTGTAGGAAGTATGCAGGCCCATGTACCGAGCTTTCGTATTGGCTGCTTAATGTTCAGAGTTCAAGGCTGCAGGGTGGAAGGTTTGGAAGTTGTCGGGTTTAGGTTTGGGAAGTTGCATGGCCTGAACGGCCTGAACCCCAAACCCTGTGCAAAATCCAAGCCTAGAGTTCATTTCCAGGATGTAATGCTGAAGGGCTTCGGCACTGCATGGTAACAGGTCTACCCAAAGGCCCCCAAAGTAGTTCCTGTTTGGGGTTCATACAAAGAACCCCATAAGGTAATCTCAAAAAGGAACTGCTTTGGGGCCTCTGGGTAAGGAGACAACCTAGCAGCCGAACATACGTGCGTGGACCCGTACGGTTTGCTCCCGCAGAGGACGTCGGAAACGTTTTTTTGGATCTCCGTAGAGATCGCCTCTAGAACCCGTACAGATCCCTGTAAGGTACCCAAAAGGACCGTATGGCCAAAGCCTAAACCCTACCTTAGCCCTGAATAACCTACCTTTTTAGGGTTCCTGATTATGAGTTCTTTATATAAGTCTTTAAAGCCCTAAAAGGATAAGTTATTCGGGGTATCCGTCGATACTCGGGGTTGGTCTTGTCCAATAGTTCATATAAACTTATACGACACTAGAATTCAAAAAAATCGTAGTCTAACTCCAGAGGCCCCTCCATTCAGCCCCTTGAAGCCCTCATACACTAAACGCTTGGTACCCTCCAGACCCACATACCCCTGTAGAATTCTATAGAACCCATAAAGGAGCCCTTGATAAATCGCTTAAAATGATCTTCAAAGGAACTTCGGAAAACCTGTTCTGAAGCCTGGTACTGTCCTTAAAGGAATAGAACTCTTATAGAATGCCTCAAGGAACCCCCAAGCAGAACCCTTTGAGACGAAGCCTGTAGTACCTGAGAGAAGAAGGAGTTCGCAGTAGCCTTTCATCCCGTCCGTGCCAAGGCTCCGTGATGGTCTTTAATTTTGAGCCATTTCAATTTACCTGGCTTTGTGGTTCAGGGCTTAGGGAATACGCTCATGGTTCCTAAACCCTAAAGAAACCTAGGCTTCAATTCCCTGGGGTATACCTTGAAGCCCGAGCCTTAGACCCTAAGCATTGACCACAAACCTCTAACTACTGCTGCCGGAGCCAAGAGCAAGAAGACTGATAAGGGGCTTAGGGTTTAGGCAAGAGCAAGAAGACTTATAAGACTCATCCCCTCTATCTCTGTCAAACTCTCGGAAGTAAGTGCGGGAAGATCAAGTGTGCGCCTGGCAGCCTGGAGGCTTATCCCCAAGCACCCCGGAAGTCCAGATAAATGCCAGTTCCAATGGAGAGCGAAGACGAGCATGTCTTCTACGGTTTACAAACGGCGTCTACAATGGGGTCTTTAATATAGGGCTTGCAATCGGGCTTCTAACATGCTCATAATGGGGTGTATAAAGTGGCCTCGGCTTTTGGCGTGGTTGGTGGATGCTAGAAGTCTTAGCCTTCCTTTGAGCCATCGTGTCAGCGGAACAGTCCCTATGGGTCCATATACCCAAATAATGTATACTTCGTCCTTTTTTCCTATTAAGGTAAATGCCAGAAAGTTGGAATATGATTATCCTAAACCCTTATGGTAAATTATAGGGTATCCTACCCTGAAACCATATTCCAACTTTCTGGTGTTCCCTTTAGGGCACATGGAGTTTTAGGGAGATGTCAAAGCCAACCTCAGGAGCGATGTAGTGGAGCGCTTGCAGAAGCACCCCGAGGATCAGCTGGCAAGCAGTTTTGTTTGGGTGTGAGACATTCTGGCTTAGGAAAGTATGATTTCCGGTTTGGGTTCCTGTAAGAGGTTAGGTCTGCGGCTTACGCTTGAAGCGAAAGAGCAACTCTACGTCATTAATCCCCCCTCACCGTACTAGACGGACACAGGCAGGTAGTGGTGGGCCCAGGCCTCAACCCTATAGCCTGATTGTGGCGTTTAAGGACACGTAGAGAATAAACAGCCCCCAGAAGAGAGGTTGTAGGGGCTACGGGTAAAGTCCTGAACCATACCTTAAAACCCCGAACAAGCTACCTTCTTAAGGACTTGTGGAAGGAAATCATAACAAGCAACCCTAAACGGGTAGGTTATTCCGGGGTTAGGGTAAACCGCAACCCTTCCACTGCAAGGTTGGAACTGCCTCTGCAGCCCCACGAAGTGATGGTGGCATTGACTTCACGCCTTCAGCCGCGGAAGAGGTCACCGAAGGCCATCACGGAGATTCTGCAGGAGAGCAGCCATGAGAATGATGCTGGTAGTAATATGGAAGTTTCCGAAATGACAATAAGGATCCTACCTTTTAGGGTACTATATTAGGGTCCCCTATTTTCGGAAACTCCCATGAGAACGACGCTGGTAGTAATATTGGTATTGAGGCTGCAAGTAGATTATTCAATTTCGTGTCTTACGACACTGCTACAACATGTTGAACCTTACAATACTAGACTTGTTACTGAAAACTAATGAGGTTGATGACCAAGTTGGAGGAGGGGAGGACTGGTAGGTGATGCAGAGGCAGCGGACGAGCAGGGCGTTTTTCGGTCGTGAAAGCGGGTGAAGTGGGTCAGTGAGTGGGTGGCTGGGTGGGTAAGGGAGTGAGTGTCGCGCTCAACGCAAGAAGTCCCAAGGCCCAATCCCTTAAACACTAACCCTGTAAATACGCATCCTTGAACTATCAGCACTGAAGTCCGGACCTACAACTCATCAGAGGAGCTGAAGAGGCTGAAGCAGAGTGATCTGATCTTTGAGATGCTTCTGGCGCTTGCAGCAGAGAGCTCCATCAAGCTGAATGTCTTCGAGCCTTGGATTCACAGGCCTAGCTGTAGACTGGGTAAAAATGATCCGCTATTTAGGTATCATCCTTCGACCCTTCTACTTACAGAGGGTTTCCATACGTTTCGTTTGGAAAACGAAAAAGGGCACCCTGCTGATGAGCCGAAAATCGCAATGCAATCCCAAAGGTCCGAGCACTTCTTTTTTATTCATAATTAGGACTTGGGGGCTTGTGTGTGTGTGTGTGCGTATACCGTTCAGCAGGTCGTAGGCTGTCAAAGGGCTTCAACCTTGGCAGGGATGTGCAGCAATCTGTGTAGCAGTTCAAGTTCTTTAGTATTTAGGGCTGTTAGGGCTA